AGTTTAAAGAGCGCTCTTTCCGAGTGTGATAATAGTTTTTTAAAATTCGGTTTGATAACAATTGCACAAAGGCTTGAAGTTTGGTAATTTTAAGCTATTTAATCTAAGTACAGAGCCACCGCTTTGTAGTTTAAGTACAGATTGATCTTAGTATTAACTTATCGACAGACAAAGACCGGTTTTAGATAGAGAAAGAATCTCTAATTATTATCTCGAATTATCTCTAATAATAAGAAAGATATCAGCTAAGAAAGTAGATAAAAAATTACAGATACAAGTTTGTTGCTGGAAAGTTTGTTGCTATCGGACAAATGTGGAGGAGGCTGAAAACTAGAATTCGTAAACATAAAACTAAAGCAAATTCCAATATTTCTAAGCACCACATAAAGACTGAACATAATATAAATTATGGAGGAGTTGAGCTTTTACATTCGTGTAACAAATTATAAAAATAATAATAACTATCTACTTATAATTTTACAATATACATGTTGCTTAAAAATCGTCAATCTTGCTTTTATCGATGTAATATCGCCCAAATAAGAATTTTGTGTATAAATTAGATTTTGAGTTAGGTTAATTTACGTTTAAACTAGCGAAGATTTCCCAAATGTCGGATTAGATATGGAGAAGGGTGTGGGTCAAATATACACACCAGCTATAAAAATAAGAATAACTATTTATAGGAACTCAATCTGTTTTTACAATTGATGACTATTGTTTATTCTGTTCTTAAGGTGGTCCCACACGACTGGTGTAATTGGCAAGTACGCAAGCAGGCAAATATTTGTGTAAACATTGGCCTTACATTGTTAATTCACGTGTAACATAAAAAATACTTATAACAATGTGAGCTCCCAGACGCTACGCAAGTGTATCCGAGTAGACGAATATATATAGACGGTTCGTTATCGGATGGATACTCATTTGCGATTTCCTCCAGGTCCCGTTGCTCAGCTGGCTTCATAGGGTCGTACTTACATAATCGCAGCTATTCGATAAAATTCCGCCGCCTTATCAAGCTTCTTCGCTGTGCACGATTTGTGGAAAATATATCTGGCAAGATTCCCTGGGAGATGACTTTTAGTACGGCCAGATGTTGACATACTACTCTTCGCATGACGCCAGGTGGATGCGATGGATTTGTAACTTAAAATATGCAAAAAAGTTGCCTTTTCGAAACGATACAACCTTACCGCACCTTCCATCTTTTTTGTTTCCGAGTGGAAACGTGCCCATTACACACCCACAAGTACCCATCAATTGCATTTCTACCTTAATCTTTTGAATTTCTCCGAAATAAGGTTTATTCTTCTTCTCTTTCAGATTTTGATGTTAAAACTTTGTAACTACGAAAGGGATTTTCATCAATAATATGTGTTATTAAGTTCCAAAATAACGTTAAACTAACTAATAATAATTATCCTAATTATAATATTTAAGTGGTTTGAAGTCTTTTAATAACAAATTTTTATTTAACTCTCATGCTCTCTATTTAAATGCGATAACACATTATGAACATTTCAAATAGATTTTTAGAATCTATTTGTATCTTATATTCTATTCAATTTCTTTTTTCGAATCTATCTTTGCTCCTATCTGGCGCTGCTCTTGTACATAGTTAATAGACACACAGTCTATGTAACGACAGGCACTTAGTCATTATGACCTATGCGAGGTTAGCCCCAAATTTTCCTAGTCCCCAATTAGATAGGATTTTACATGTATAGTATTTTGATTATAACAAGAAAACCAGTCAACCGATTTCGATAATCAAAATCTCATTCGAAAGCTTAATCTTTGGCCAATACGAAAGTGGACATGCCCGACTCGAAATCTCTCGCGGGGTCATTTCAATGGCTGTACGCACATAATTAGTAAATTTTGAAATCGGGCATTTTCACCTTCGCATTCATTGCAGATCATACTTTCGACCGAGATTTTGATGACTAAAGTTGGTCAATTAGTTACGGAGATAATTGATGTGTTTAATTAATTCGTTTGTTGTGTTTTAATCAAAATGCTTAAATATTTCGAATCGGGCATTTCGACAACAGCATTTAGCCAGACACAAACTTTCGATTGAGATATAAAACATTAAAATCCGTCAAACTGTTCTCTAATTATAGTCGATTTAGTTTAAATTAAAAATTAATTAATAGCACGAGCGTTCACACGTGCATAAACAACGAGCCGAAGACGGTGTCATTCCGAGGGCTGTATAAACGTAGCGGGAAAGAATTGAAATCGAGCATTTTGTGATTTCGATAGAAGACACTATGACGAATCGAGTGACGTATAGATTTTGATCATCGTGTACATCGTTTACGAGTTATCACCACTTAAAGAAGGTCAATTTTGTGTTATTTTCGTGTATCTTCGCATTATTTTGGTGTTTTAGCGAAATTCGAAAGAGTTTTCAAATCGGGCATTTCCACTTTCGTATTGGCCAAGGATTAAGCTTTCGAATGAGACGTTATTTATCGAAATCGGTTCACTGGTTTTCATCTTATAATCAAAATACTATACATGTAAAATGCTATTTAATTGGGGGCTAACTTCACATAGGTGTCATTATGAATAATTATGTTGTAATCCCAACAAGTTTAGTGAAAATAACTTTTTATTTAGTGCGTGAGTATAAATTAAACAATTTCAGGTTAGGATTTAATACGAAAATGCATATTTAACATTGCTTTTAGGTTCCAAAAAGAAACGTCAAATCGCAACTTTAAAGTGATTTTTCGGTAAGTACTACACTTTTCCGCACTTTTTTTTTATCATTAACACATCTTTTGAGTCATTTCCTACCGATTAAAAAAAAAATCATCGATTTTTAAGTGGGACAGGTATTCTTTAATTATTCCGAATTTTTGGTCGAACCTGATTAATATTCTTTTGAACCTGAACTTGCCCGAAACCCTGAGTTTTTTTAATAAGAGTCTCTTAAAATTAAAGAAACCCAAATTTATAGATTAATAACTTGTGTATAAAACATCACACAAGTAAAACAGCACAATATATGTTATCAGGATGTTGGTAAAAGTGGACCTTAAAGGGCAACAAAAAATACATTTTTTTTAATTAATATAATAATATCCAGCAAATAGGAATGTGAAACATTTCTTTTATACATTAATAATTAATATCTCGTGATTATTATTATTTTCTCTTTACAACATCAACAAACTACAAAATACTTTCTAGATAATTACAAATTACATAATTGTAGGAAAAAGTTTTTTACGCTTTTCCAGAAATAGGTGCAGTACCCTGTTTAGTATCACCTGTCGCCTGATCCTTCTCCAACTGCCTTCCCAAATACTCCCAATTATGCACCATCAATTTTTGAACAGCCAACAACGCCTCATAACGAACATTCGGGTCTTCATGGGCCAATAATTGCATAACAAGTTGTTTTCCGCCCAATTGCTCGATGACACTACAACAAAAATTTCATTCATTTCAAATTTTATTATTAATTCTATTTATTACTGTTTTCCTCTTGGATAATGTCGCACGTATTCGCCAATATCATAACTCGCAACGCTCAAAACAAGGGGGTCTTTGCTCGTTTCTAAGTGGTGAATCAAAATCCTTAAAAGTTCGTAATTCTTTTCGTTCAAACGTTGCGCGTTTTCGCGCCAAAATTTGCTTTTATGCACCGGAGACCATTCCAATCTTCCGCTTTTAACTTCCGTTGCGTATTCATCGAACGAACTCAAATCTTGAACGGAAGCTTGTAATTTTTCAGTTAAAAATTCAACATCCGCTGTAACATCTTCGTCATCAAATTTCCTCTGCTCGAGGATGTTGAGTTGTTTGAGTACTTTGCTTTGTACCATTGCGATACAATGTTCTTTAGCGACTTGAGCATCATCTGGTTTCTCAATCAAGTTTCGGAACACGGCCAAAACTATTCTTGTAACTTTCTCTTTAACGGAATCGCTTAAGATATCGGCTAATATCGGGATTACGTTGAATTTGTTCATTTTTTCCGCCAAAAGGGGGTTAAAAGTTAACACCCAAATACAAAATATTAACTGATATTGCACTTGGAAGTTAACGCGACCGGATAATACGGATAATAAGGTTGAAATACCATCGACTGATACAAAAGCAAATCGATACTCGTCGATTCTTAGCATCATTTGTAAACAACGAGCCACTGATTGGATGTATTCGTTGTTCTATAAATTAGAAATTAAATTAATATGGTTTTAGTTAAAAGAGAAAACAGATCATAAAATACGAATTATAAAAGTTGTGTCTTGGATTTAAATCTTTTAATGTGTTAAATATGTACCGAAAGATCCAAAGGCAAGTCCTCATCATAATCCCCTAAACCACCAACCCTCGGGGCGTCAAATCCGGCCAAACGAGCAGTGTCGGCTTGGTGTTGCATCTCGGCTAAACCCTTGTACTAAAAGTGCAACGTGAAAAAGTGTTTGGTATAATTCAAGAATCATCGTGTCGCTTAAAAATCGACAATTAAGTAAGTTGTTACAAATAAAAAAAAAGTGCGGAAAAGAACTTACTTGGAAAAGACTAGATAATGTTTTCAAAATAATACATTAATACATTTTGACCTACTTGAAATACTGCTTGACTTTGAGTTTCGAAACGCCTGTATACTACTAGAAAAGATTAGGACCAGCTTGGAGAAGACTAAATACTGCTGGGAGCAACTATTATCTGCTTGGAAAGACAAAATACTGTTTCCAAAAAACTATTAACTACTTTCAGAATGCTAAATATTGTTGGAAAGCACTACTAAGTGCTTGAAGATTACAGTACTACTGGTTGAACATTATTTGCTGAAACTATTCTTCTGTTGAGTGATATCTTTCCGTTTCCCTTCCATTATAGATTTAAAAATTGCTGCTACAACACTCGATTCTTTGTCACCCAGATACGACATGCCAATTTCTAGTCTATTGGTAGCAGTACCTAGCTTTTTATAGACAATATTTATCTGTTTAAACAGTTTCTAGGATTGTATAGGTGGCATTAATTTTTCGCAAGAAGTTTTTAGTCTTCTGTCAGCAGTATTTAGTCTTCTACAAACAATATTAGTATTCTGCAACCAATTTCTAGTCTGTTGGTAGCAGTACAAAGCCGTTTATAGATAGTAACTATCTTTTTAAGCAGTTTTTAGCATTGTATAGGTAGTATTAGTCTTTCGCAAGGAGTTTTTAGTCTTCTATCGGCAGTATTTAGTCTTCTACAAGCAGTATTAGTATTCTACAATCAATGTGTAGTCTATTGGTAGCAAACAGTAACCTTCTATAGACAATATCTATCTTCTGTAAGCATTTTTTAGTATTGTATAGGAAATATTTGTCCTCGGTAAGGAGTTTTTAGTCTTCTGTCAGCAGTATTTAGTCTTCTACAAGCAATATTAGTATTCTGCAAACAATTTCTAGTCTGTTAGTAGCAGTACCTAGCCTTTTATAGACAATATCTGTCTTTTAACGCAGTTTCTAGTATTGTATAGGTAGTATCAGTCTTTTGCAAGGAGTTTTTAGTCTTCTGTCGGCAGTATTTAGCCTTCTACAAGCAGTATTAGTATTCTGCAAACAATTTCTAGTCTGTTAGTAGCAGTACCTAGCCTTTTATAGACAACATCTATCTTTTAAAGCAGTTTCTAATATTGTATAGGTAGTATTAGTCTTTCGCAAAAAGTTTTTAGTCTTCTGTCGGCAGTATTTAATCTTCTACAAGCAATATTAGTATTCTGCAATCAATGTGTAGTCTATTGGTAACAATAACTAAGCTTCTATAAACAATATCTATCTTCTGCAAGCATCTTTTAGTATTGTATAGGTAGTATTAGTCTTTTGCAAGGAGTTTTTAGTCTTCTGTCGGCAGTATTTAGTCTTCTACAAGCAGTATTAGTATTCTGCAAACAATTTCCAGTCTGTTGGTAGCAGTACTCAGCCTTTTATAGGCAGTATCTATCTTTTTAAGCAGTTTCTAGTATTGTATAGGTAGTATTAGTCTTTTGCAAGGAGTTTTTAATCTTCTGTCAGCAGTATTTAGTCTTCTACAAGCAGTATTAGTATTCTGCAATCAATGTGTCGTCTATTAGTAGCAATAATTAACCTTCTATAGACAATATCTATTTTCTGCAAGCATTTTTTAGTATTGTATAGGTGGTATTTATCATCCGCAAGAAGTTTTTAGTCTTCTGTCGGTAGTATTTAGTCTTCTACAAGCAATATTAGTATTCTGCAAACAATTTCTAGTCTGTTGGTAGCAGTAGCTAGCCTTTTATAGACAGTATCTATCTTTTTAAGCAGTTTCTAGTATTGTATAGGTAGTATTAGTCTTTCGCAAGGAGTTTGTAGTCTTCTGTCGGTAGTATTTAGTCTTCTACAAGCAGCATTAGTTATTCTGCAACCAATTTCTAGTCTGTTAGTAGCAGTACCTAGCCTTTTATAGATAATATCTATCTTTTAAAGCAGTTTCTAGTATTGTATAGGTAATATCAGTCTTTTGCAAGGAGTTTTTAGTCTTCTGTCGGTAGTATTTAGTCTTCTACAAGCAATATTAGTATTCTGCAAACAATTTCTAGTCTGTTAGTAGCAGTACCTAGCCTTTTATAGCCAATATCTATCTTTTTAAACAGTTTCTAGTATTGTATAGGTAGTATTAGTCCTTTGCAAAAAGTTTTTAGTCTTCTGTCGGCAGTATTTAGTCTTCTACAAGCAGTATTAGTATTCTGCAATCAATGTGTAGTCTGTTGGTAGCAATAACTAACCTTCTATAAACAATATCTATCTTCTGCAAGCATCTTTTAGTATTGTATAGGTAGTATTTGTCTTCCGTAAGAAGTTTTTAGTCTTCTGTCGGCAGTATTTAGTCTTCTACAAGCAGTATTAGTATTCTGCAAACAATTTCTAGTCTGTTGGTAGCAGTACTCAGCCTTTTATAGACAGTATGTATCTTTTTAAGCAGTTTCTAGTATTGTATAGGTAGTATTAGTCTTTCGCAAGGAGTTTTTAGTCTTCTGTCGGTAGTATTTAGTCTTCTACAAGCAGCATTAGTATTCTGCCACCAATTTCTAGTCTGTTGGTAGCAGTACCTAGCCTTTTATAAATAATATCTATCTTTTTAAGCAGTTTCCAGAATTGTATAGGTAGTATTAGTCTTTCGCAAGGAGTTTTTAGTCTTCTGTCGGCAGTATTTAGTCTTCTACAAACAGTATTAGTATTCTGCAATCAATGTGTAGTCTATTGGTAACAATAACTAACCTTTTATGGACAATATCTATCTTCTGCAAACATTTTTTAGTATTATATAGGTAGTATTTGTTTTCCGCAGCTAGATATTGTTGGCAAAGACTATTTAATGCTTTCAGAAGACTGCTGCCAAAACACTACTACGTGCTTAGAGGTTACAATACTACCGGCTGAAGACTATTCACTCGATTCTTTGTCACCCAGATGCGACATATCTTTTTAGTGGTAGGTAGCATAAGATATCACTATGTTGCCTGTTTTTATTGAATTAAAATTAGAACTAACACTAGACCTAGAACTAGAAATATTCAGATTTAGCGGTGCTCCTAAAAACAATTTTGGTGTTTTTTGAAAGAGTTTCGACGCACGGCTAAGAAAAAAACTTTCAGGTGTTAACATCATCTTTACTTTTATTATTATATTCGTAACCTTTATAAAATAACCTTTAAAATGAGTCCAAACATGACGCACTTATCTCAAAAAACAAAAAAGTTAGAATAAAAAACATTAATTAAACACAATGAAGATAGCAATTTAATTTTTGATTTTTTTATTATATTTATTAGATTTTGTTGTGTTTGTATTCATTTTAAAGGTTTTTTAATGAAGATTACAAATATGTCAAAATTGAGGTTGACATTTTAAACCTGAAGTTAGTTATCATATAACACAACTTCACGTCACTTTCTTTTTATTTTTAACGTTTTTTTTTTTTTGATTTTTAACCCACACGATGATTCTTGAATTTTTCCAAGTGTTTCTTATCGCGATTATTAAACTATAAGTGTCAAAGAAACCTTCACCGGCTAAACAAGGCTTTTCTAATGATCTAATTAGCTTTCATTTTAAAGACGTGTTAACGACAGGTGAATCTAATTTTTTAATTAACACATACAACACGTATCTAAGGTTGGTGATTAGGATTTAATCAAATAATGAGGGTTAATTTGAACTCGCACAAATTAATTTATAATAATAAATAAACATAAAAGCGAAAAAAAATTTTTTTTTCAAACGATTCCTACTTTACCGATGTCGGTAAATTGCATTTTGAGTTACACAAGCTAAAATAATTTCGATTCAAAAAATATTATTGATTTTTAACCAAGTTAAACTCGCACAAAATAATTTATAACAATAAATAAATAAAAAAAATTTTTTCAAACTATTTCTACTTTACCGATGTCGGTAAATTGCATTTTAGGTTACATAACCTAACTTAATTTCGTTTGAAAAAAAATTTATACTTACGAAATTATTATTATTAATTTTCTAACCTGAGTGGTAAGTTGGTCTTTTAACCAAGTTAAATAATATTGCAAATCGGAGCGCTCCATCGGGGTGTGGGACCAACACGCGATTTTTGCGATAACCTATAAAATAAAAAAACATAACCTCACTTTATTAATTTTTTCTTTTTTTAAATTAGATTATTTCGAACCCTCGAAGTCATATTGGTGATGAATCCATCTTGGCGATTTAAAAGATTTAAGAATGGGGACCAAACGGATTCTTTCGTTTTTAAGGCGTATTCGTGGAAAATCTCGACGCGAGTGCGATCCTCCTAAATAAGGTAAGATTAAGATTCGAACTTTGTTAATTAATTAATTAATTATAATTACTTGTAACATATCATCGATCAATACTAAGATATATCTTAAAGTATTATCTTTAGAAACATGTCCGAGGAGGTTTAAAAACGTTCTTGCGCATTGTAGCCGGTCGGCGCGCAATAAATTCTCACGTTTCGCGTTGTCTTGGACATCGAAAGCCACGATGAATTTGTAATCATCTTGGGAAATCATTTGGGATCTAAAAATCGGTTATTATTTCTTTTTGGTTAATTTTTTTTGGTACTTACTGAAGATATGATTGCCATGTAACTTTTTCGCTACGAACATCGGTCGCTTGTTGTTGTAGAACGCTTGTGGCGGCTAACATATCTGAAATAGCCAGCATTTTTTCACTTAAAATATGAATTAAATGTTTAGAGCCACTGATTTATTACTGGTCAGCTGATTAAACTCGTCACGTGAACGAGAAAAAGGCGTTTTCGGGCAGTTAAATATAGATTATGTTCAGGAAATTGGTTGAAATGACTATAAAAAGGAAGCGCGCGAGGATTTAAACTATTCATAAAGTTAAATAGCACCGAGTTTAACTAAAAATTAGGCTCGAAATCTTGTTGAAACGGTTTAAGTGGGTTATTTACCGATTTTGTCGTCGTCTAAAGATGTCATGATCTCTTTTAACTTGGGATCGTTGACCACTTGGGATGTAGTAGCCATCCTTAGTTGATTTTTGGAAAAGTAACACGGAAAAACTGTTCGATTTTTCGTTCACTCCCTTTACAACACCTGTGTCACCTGTCCAAGTTTTTTTCCAGTCTTGTGATTACATTGTTACGCCATCTATTAAGTGACAATTAAAAGTCGGTATTGTAGAGGGCGACAAAATCTTGACACAAATCAATCAACTTAAATCTAAATTTAGGTTATAAATTAATTTTATTAAAATCGAATCAATTTATCCACCAAATATATTTATGTTAATTTTCACAAAAAAATTAATATATTTAAATAAACATTTATTTTTTCCGAGGAACTTTTTGATTGCGTTATTGCGCCATCTATTAAGTGACAACTAAAAGTAATCGTTAAAAATCAAAGAAACGTCAAATTAATCAACATAAACAAAAATAAAACTTTAATTTTATTAAAATTGACTCAATTTATCCATCGAATATATATATGTCGACAAAAACATTAATATATCTAAATAAACATTTATTTTTTCCGAAAAACTTTTTAACTACCTTGTTACGCCATCTATTAAGTGACAACTAAAAGTAATCGTTAAAAATCAAAGAAACGTCAAATTAATTAATATCACCTAAAATGAATGTTTAATTTAATTAAAATGGAATCAATTTATCCATCAAATATATTGATGTCCACAAAAAAAATTAATATATCAAAATAAACATTTATTTTTAACTAAAGTCCCTAGATTTACAAAGTACCGCGGTTTGCCGCCATTTTGGCCCGAAAGTCAAGCGGGAAATTTAAAACTATGTCATTTTATTGATAACATTACGCCAAATTTCCTTTCATTTTTTCTCGTGGTACTCTGAAGAGTCGAAAGTCCTTCTTACTCTCATTTTTGCAACCCCAAAGGCAACAAGACGGCAATATTTATGTAAATAAGTGGTGAAATGCAGTGACAAGCTGTCAAACCGCCATTTTGGCTCGAAAACAGGCTTCATGAACCGCGGTACTTTGTAAATCTAGGGACTTTATTTTTAACTACGTTGTTGCGCCATCTATTAAGTGACAACTAAAAGTAATCGTTAACAATCAAAGAAACATTAAATGAATCAAGCCTACATCGTTGCAAAACTATCCAAAATGATTGAAATTTGGTTGGTGTTGTTTGAAAACTTGTCAAAATGATTTATATCCATACCAAGTTGTTCAAAATCATATAAACCTGCATCTAACGATGTTCAAAACAAATCTACAACGCAGCGAAATTGTTCAAATTAATTGAAAATTAATTTATAATGTTTGGAAGCTTGTCAAAATGATTTATATCCATTCTAAGTTGTCCAAAATCGTATAAAACTGCATCTAATGATGTTTAAAACAAGCCCACACTCTTGCAAAACTATTCAAAATCATTGACATTTTGTTGCTGATGTTTGAAAACTTGTCAAAATGATTTATATCCATTCCAAGTTGTTCAAAATCATATAAACCTGCATCTAACGATGTTCAAAACAAACCTACAACGCAGCGAAATTGTTCAAATTAATTGAAAATTAATTTATAATGTTTGGAAGCTTGTCAAAATGATTTATATCCATTCTAAGTTGTTCAAAATCGTATAAAACTGCATCTAATGATGTTTAAAACAAGCCCACACTTTTGCAAAACTATTCAAAATCATTGACATTTTGTTGCTGATGTTTGAAAACTTGTCAAAATGATTTATATCCATTCTAAGTTGTCCAAAATCGTATAAAACTGCATCTAATGATGTTTAAAACAAGCCCACACTCTTGCAAAACTATTCAAAATCATTGACATTTTGTTGCTGATGTTTGAAAACTTGTCAAAATGATTTATATCCATTCCAAGTTGTTCAAAATCATATAAACCTGCATCTAACGATGTTCAAAACTAACCTACAACGCAGCGAAATTGTTCAAATTAATTGAAAATTGATTGATAAAGTTTTGAAACTTCTTAAAATGATTGCATAATGATTTATATCCATTTCAAGTTGTTCAATGTCGTATAAAACTGCATCTAACAATGTTTAAAACAAACCTACAACGTTGCAAGAGTATTTAAAATGACTGAAATTTGGTTGGTGATGTTTGAAAACTTGCCAAAATAATTTATATCCATTCCAAGTTATTCAAAAGTGTATAGAACTGCATCTAACGATGTTTAAAGCAAACCTATAACATTACAAAACTATTCAAAATGACCGAAATTTTGTTGGTGATGTTTGGAAACTTGTCAAAATGATTTATATCCATACCAAGTTCTTCAAAATCATATAAACCTGCATCTAACGTTGTTCAAAACAAACCTAGAAGGTTACGAAATTGTTCAAACTAATTGAAAACTGATTGATAATGTTTGGAAGCTTGTCCAAATGATTTATATCCATTCCAAGTTGTTCAAAATTATTAGAGCTTCTTCAAAATGATTGAAAATTGGTTAGTAATGTTTAAAAACTTGTCTAAATTATTGCAAAATGATTTATTGCATTTCCAATTTGTACAAAATCATATAAAACTGCATCTAATGATGTTCAAAATAAGTCTATAACATTGCAAAGTTGTTCAAAAGGATGTATTTTCAATACAAGTTGTTCAAAATCGTATAAAACTGCATCTAACGATGTTTAAAACAAATCTACACTGTAGCAAAACTATTCAAAATTATTGAAATTTGGTTACTGATGTTTGAAAACTTGTCAAAATTATTTATATCCATTCCAAGTTGTTCAAAATTATATTAAACTGCATCTAACAATATTCAAAACAAACCTATAACAATGTAAAATTCTTCAAAATGATTGAAAAGTGGTTAGTAATGTTTAAAAACTTGTCTAAATTAATGCAAAATGATTTATATCATTTCCAATTTGTTCAAAATCGTATAAAATTGCATCTAACGATGTTCAAAACAAGCCTACACTGTAGCAAAACTATTCAAAATTATTGAAATTTGGTTACTGATGTTTGAAAACTTGTCAAAATTATTTATATCCATTCCAAGTTGTTCAAAAGTGTATAGAACTGCATCTAACGATGTTTAAAACAAGCCTACACTGTATGTCGTATAAAACTGCATCTAACGATGTTTAAAACAAGCCTACACTGTAGCAAAACTATTCAAAATTATTGAAATTTGGTTACTGATGTTTGAAAACTTGTCAAAATTATTTATATCCATTCCAAGTTGTTCAAAATTATATTAAACTGCATCTAACAATATTCAAAACAAACCTATAACAATGTAAAATTCTTCAAAATGATTGAAAAGTGGTTAGTAATGTTTAAAAACTTGTCTAAATTATTGCAAAATGATTTATTGCATTTCCAATTTGTACAAAATCATATGAAACTGCATCTAACGATGTTCAAAACAAGCCTACACTGTAGCAAAACTATTCAAAATTATTGAAATTTGGTTACTGATGTTTGAAAACTTGTCAAAATTATTTATATCCATTCCAAGTTGTTCAAAAGTGTATAGAACTGCATCTAACGATGTTTAAAACAAGCCTACACTGTAGCAAAACTATTCAAAATTATTGAAATTTGGTTACTGATGTTTGAAAACTTGTCAAAATTATTTATATCCATTCCAAGTTGTTCAAAATTATATTAAACTGCATCTAACAATATTCAAAACAAACCTATAACAATGTAAAATTCTTCAAAATGATTGAAAAGTGGTTAGTAATGTTTAAAAACTTGTCTAAATTAATGCAAAATGATTTATATCATTTCCAATTTGTTCAAAATCGTATAAAACTGCATCTAACGATGTTTAAAACAAGCCTACACTGTAGCAAAACTATTCAAAATTATTGAAATTTAGTTACTGATGTTTGAAAACTTGTCAAAATTATTTATATCCATTCCAAGTTGTTCAAAATTATATTAAACTGCATCTAACAATATTCAAAACAAACCTATAACAATGTAAAATTCTTCAAAATGATTGAAAAGTGGTTAGTAATGTTTAAAAACTTGTCTAAATTATTGCAAAAGGATTTATTGCATTTCCAATTTGTACAAAATCATATGAAACTGTATCTAACGATGTTCAAAATAAGTCTATAACATTGCAAAGTTGTTCAAAATGATGTATTTTCAATACAAGTTGTTCAAAATCGTATAAAACTGCATCTAACGATGTTTAAAACAAATCTAGAACAATTCAAGATGATTGAAAATTGATTGATAATGTTTAAAAACTTGTCTAAATTAATGCAAAATGATTTATATCATTTCCAATTTGTTCAAAATCGTATAAAATTGCATCTAACGATGTTCAAAACAAACCACCTACAACGTAGCGAAATTGTTCAAATTGGGGATTTGGGCAGCTATACTTTTGAAAGAAGTGTTATTTGTTGTTTTCTTTGTTTTTTCACAAAATTGGTGATATGGGGAGCACGATCGATTGTGAGTCAGACGAACTCTGTCCCCTTCTTGATTTTCTGTCACGATCTTTCCATCATGGTAGGGATATTCATTTGTGTTTCTGTCGGTGTAAATAAAAGCGTAATTTTATTAAAATTGAATTAATTTATCCACCAAATATATTTATATTTATGTTTTTGACTATGTTGTTACGCCATCTATGAAGTGACAACTAAAAGTAATCGTTAAAAATCAAAGAAACATCAAATTAATTAACATAACTTAAAATAAACGTTTCATTTGATTAAAATGGAATCAGTTTATCCACCAAATATATTTATGTTCAAATATATTTATATTTATGTTTTTGACTACGTTGTTACGCCATCTATGAAGTGACAACTAAAAGTAATCGTTAAAAATCATAGAAACGTCAAATTAATCAACATAACCTAAAATAAACGTTTAATTTGATTAAAATGGAATCAGTTTATCCACCAAATACATTTTCAAGAATTTTCCAACGATTATTCTTCTCCAATTGGAGCAACCCTCCAAGAAAGCCACGAAAAACTTTTTGGGGATATCTCATCCAATGAACAATTTGTAACGTCGATAATTTAGCGGTACAGCATGAATTTAAACCAAGTGGAATGGAGAAATTTTATAGGAACATTAATTTTTTGAGGTTCAATTCATAAAAAAGACTAATTTTATCGATTTGTAACAATTATTTATTTAAATATAGTTAACTTAATATAGGCAACCAAACCATCATAGCATTTCATACTAGGACTGCCATCTACAAATCGATATTCTAACGAAGCCCAATCTTAAGAAACATTAAATAAATCTAAATGTAGGTTATAAATTAATTTTATTAAGATGGGATCAATTTATCCACCAAATATATTTATGTGCAAAGAAAAATTATTTTTTTAAATTTTTAATTAACTTTTTGACTTTAACTACGTTGTTGCGCCATCTATTAAGTGACAACAAAAATATTCGTTATTAATCAATATAATCTAAAATAAAAGTTTAATTTTATTAAAAATGGAATTAATTTATCCACCAAATATATTTATGTACAGAGAAAAATTAATTTTTTGGTTTTTAATTAACTTTTTGTCTACGTTGTTACGCCATCTATTAAGTGACAACTAAAAATCAAAGAAACGTCAAATAAATCGACATAACCTAAAATAAAAGTTTAATTTGATTAAAATGGAATCAATTTATCCACCAAATACGTTTATGTGCACAGAAAAATTAACATATTTAAAAGAACATTTCCAAGAATTTTCCAACGATTATTCTTCCCCAATTAGGGCAACTCTCCAAGAAACCCACGAAAAACTTTTTGGAGATATCTTATCAGAAGACTTTGAAAAACTTACAACAATTTGTAATGTAGATAATTTAACGGTACACCATGAATTTGAACCAAGTGAAATGGAGAAATTTTATAAAAACAGCCATAAAGATTTACCAGAAGATGCGAAAAAATTGCACACGATTCAAGCGAAAATATCCTGGGAAAATAAATACAATAATGTTTCATCAACAGAACCCAAGCACATAAATTTATTACAAGATTTTAATGAGTCAATTGATTTTGAACCCGGTTCGGATGTAATAATAACCGTAAATGTTCACCAGCCGTACACAGGCCATATTGGGATGCTCTCAAAAAGGAATTATTGCATTGGTTTTATTAAATCGTGTCATGAATTAATCGCTTTAGGCTCTCAAAGCTTAAAAGACTTAAAAAATAAGATTATTTGTGATCACAACGAATTCAGCAAAGAAGTTAATGATATTTATGAGTCCAACAAAGATGATGAGACAATCCAAAATGGGTCTTCTTTAATATGTATTGATGATAAATTATACGTTGATATGCCTAATACTGATTCAATTGATTACTCAGTTGTTGTAAAAAAATGGAACGAAGATAACAAATTAAAATTAAACTTTACAACAGATGATATGAGCGTGAAACTCCGCGATTTAAACTTTCGTTTAGGTTATCCATATTTGTATCAACACAATGGAAATTGTGAGCATCTTTTTGTGTTTTCTGATGTGCAGTTGGTTAAAAAATGTCACTCTTTGTGTAGGGATGATTATCCGTATTATAAAACTATTAATGGGTACATGTTAAAGAATTGTAACATATGCAAAAAGGTCTCTGCTAAATGGATTTGTACCAATAATAATCGCCTAATTCATAATGTAACTTATTTTTGCCAGGATTGTTTAATTTCTTATAATTATAAGGATGGTGAGAAAATTGGTGATTTTAAATTGTATCCGCAAAAGAAGATATTAATTCAACAATAAATTTTAAAATTTTTTTTTTAAATTTTACATTATTTATTTTGTATTAATAAAATGTTATAAATATGATACAATTCACCATGTATTGTTGACCGTTTTAAGTTTTTTATTGTATTTAATCCACGTAAAGTTAAAACGAAGCAAATTTGTAGAATTTTGACAGTGACATAACCCCACATTTCATTTTTTATTAATTTCTTATTATAATTCATGTTTGTCCGATTGAAACTATTGCAAACGATAATCTTAGCATGTCAGCAACGAAAACCATCCATCGTATGGGAGTTTTAATGAAGAATTTCACGAAAATTACATATTTGAATATATTTTTGAAGCTGGACGTTGAAATCTAAAAGAAAATGTCCCGAAATCAGCACAAACAAAGTTATTGCAACAACACTACAACGTTTCATACATAAATATTATTAATATAATAATTTCAATAATTTTTAATAAAATTTAATTGGTGACATTTGTCATTTCAAAGTTGGCTCATACCGGAGAAATTTAAATTACGAATTTCAAGTTGAAGAATTTAACCAATCAGAAGACGTTATTTAAATCGTTCAAGCATTAAAGAAACGAAACTGGTCGATTTTAGGACAAATTGGACTGATCATAGAAAATAGCTTCGTAGAAATGCAACTCTCTAAACAAAAACTTCGTACTAAAAATTGAACGCATGTGGCGCCATCTGTTGGGGATATTTTGGAATTATTCAGCTAAGAACCGAACCACTAGAATACAGGTGGATTGGGTTTATATATAAAAGCTCCAACCACAAAATAACTGTTTGGAAAGTGGTTTTCCACCGCTATGTGGCTCCAATTAACGTTCCAACTGGTTGGGAATTCCTCAGATGTAATTACCTATTACACCGGTCAAATAATTCCGTCACATTTGAATATCACTGCATCATATGACATGTGATAGATATATAGAACAATGCTATAATGTCAATTATAATCTAATTATTTAATCCTACCATTATTACTTTATTATACTACAGACGTTTTCATCTGTCATTCTGAACAAACTTCAACTTTTAAATGTTGAAGTTAGCGGCAAATTTAAAAATATAAAACGAATTGGAATCTATACTTTTTAAATTAAAAGAATGATACTGGCAATAATTGTTATTACTGTCTGTCATCATTCCCACTATTAATAATAAAACTGTTAGTTTAAGTAAATTATTTGAGTATAGACGCTAATGCCATCTTACGGTGGGATTTCGACATATAATCAGTCCCATGTTCTCCTATCAAAGATCCCTGGGCTGGGACTGATCTTGGTTCAACTTTTTCCTCTTCTTATATACCCTTATCCTCCTCTCCAAAAAAATTTCTTCCCTTAAAATAATTTCAAATCCTTCTAAATTACGAAAACGCCATCTAACGGATTTCTTTCGAACCACTCAAAATTTCAACATTATTTTATTCATATCTTCTTTAATTCTTCACTAATTTGGATGAAACTGCGTATTTGATGCATATGAGTTTCTATTATAGCTGTCCATTGGAGGTTTCAAGATTCTCCAACCACAAAAGAAGTTTCAACCTAACAAATTTAAATCAAATTTTTAAAGTCAAAATCGTTCAAAATCTAATAAATTAGATGTAACTGGCACTGATTTTCCCATTTTGGATGGTTTAGAATGGATATTAACAGTTTTGAGAGAATTATGAGCAAATAAAAATTAACTGTCAACTGAATTGAGGTTATGTTGTTGAAGCTTTATTAAAAGGAGAAATTACTTATTTTGTTATAAACACTTAATTTGTTGTAGTATTTGTTTAAAAACCTAGATTTATTAACTTTTGACAGTTAACATAACCTCTAAATAATTTTTTAATTGATTATTGAGGTTATGTACATAAATTAAACACATTACATACGTAAGAAGCTGAAAACAAAAAAATTAACGATTTGATGACTAAAATCTGTCATAATTCTTAAACTTAAAATCATAGGGCAAAATTTTATTAATAAATTTTGTTTATTATAAATCCTAAAAGATATGTTTCTAAATCGATTTTATTCTAGCTCTATTAGTTTCCCTATTATAATATGCCAAAGATGTTGAAAACGTAAAAATTATAATTTTTGAATACTAAAATCTATTATGATTCTAAAACCAATAAAGATGGAGCAAAACTTTATATAATATATATAAATTTTTCTATGGTTTAAAAAATACATTTTTTTGACGTTTTTATTATGACATAACCTCAAAAAAAAATCAGTCCCAACTTCTCCTATCAAAGATCCCTGGGGCCTGGGGGTGCTTACTGTCAAAAAGGAACCAACCATAAAACCAACAGTAAGTAAGCATTGATCATATTAATTGGGTTTTTGTATAATGTTTTCTATGTTGTGCGATATATGACTCCCATATACATTAATAAATAGCAAGGAAGAAGTTTTTGTCGGTTTATAACCCTCACTTTTCGTTTTTTTTGATTTGTTAGGTTGCAACTAACTTCAGGTTCGATTTAAAATAAAATAATTTATTGATAATATAAAATTTATCCAATAACTTTTTAAATAATCTCTTTTTTGGTTATTATTTAATTAATTTTTGGAAATCCTTTTAATAAAAATTTTTTTTTGTAAGTTGCGCCATCTATTGACATTTTTATAACAATGGTATCTGTCAAAAAAAAATCCTAACCTATTACAATCTACTGCCAACATGTTTATTTTATTAATTTCTCCTAAATAATCATCGAAAACATCGAATTTCAATTATATTTCAAGATCTTAAAATGACTTCCGCGTGCAGGCTGTGTTTAAATTCATCCTCGAGCGATTATCGCGACTACAAAAGTGTTGATCAAAAGTACTTTGAGGTTGTCCTTCCAGAAATCGTAAGTTGCGTTATTTCTTAAAGATTTCGTTGCATTTCAATTGATTTGGCCCCTTTTGCAGGACATAACTATGATAAGTTCTCCTATTTTTTGTATAAATTGCATGGAATTACTTCGTGCAGCCTATTTATTTAAAACGAGTTGTTTGGAAACTGAGCGGGTTATAAAAACTTACATAGAAAGAGTAGGTGGGGTTAAAATTTCGTTATCAGACGTTTTAAAGGATCAATCTGGAATTAGTACGAAAGAGGAGGATGTAAAACCTGAAGGTTTTGTTAAATTAGAGAGTAATAATGATACGGAAACGTTCTTTAATGATTTTTATAATGATGATAATAGTAATGACCAAGAGAAGCATCAATATAATTGTTCAATTTGTAATTTAGACTTTGAAGATGAAGGATCTTTAAAAAGACATAATCATTTGCGTTCGTTACGATGTGGAGTGTGCAATAAAGACTTTTCGAACGGTTATACTTTACGCCGGCACATGTCAAGTCATAAAAAAAATAATTTAGATGAAATTAACGACGATATTTTAATCGAAATGGAAAAAAACGTTCAAAAACACGATCAAATGTATCCTAACGGCGTTGATATTTGTGTTTTAACCTGCGAAATATGCCGGGAAAGCTTTGATACAAAACTAATATTGTTGGAACATGTTAAATCTCACTTTGCAGTGAATTGCGAGCGTTGTGGGAGATTTTATAAAGACTGCGCGTTGTTGGATGTTCATTTGGAGGAATCTCATCAGGTGAAAGCGGAGCGAAAATTATTTTCTTGTGATATTTGTTTAAAAACGTTTGCGCTCCGAAAAAGTTTATTATTTCACGTGCGGAGTCATTTCGAACGTCCTCGATGTACAATTTGTGATAAAATGTATTACGATTTGAACTGCTTAAAGCGCCACATCATTTCGATACATAAAAATAGTAAATTTAAAATAAAAAACGAAGATACCGAATCGGATGAATTTGAGGACGTCGATTTCGAAATCGACGACACAAATTTATTTAAAACGTTACGAATTTATTTAGAAAAATTTAAAAATAATCAATGTGATTTTTGTAACAAAACTTTTAAAGAAAACGAGGAATTTAATGATCATTACTTAAAAGCGCATTTTTCACGGCCTTTGTGTAAAATTTGTAACAAAGGATTTATTAATTCGGTTTGTTTAAAAAAGCACAACCTCAAAGTTCATAAAGTTGAGGATTTTAGTGAAATTGCGGTTCAAAAAATTAAATTGGAGTGTTTTAGCGATCAATCGATTTTGGATTTTTGCACGAATTGTAATAATTCGATTTGTAATTGTAAAAATAATTTGAAATGCCCAACTTGTGGTAAAATAATGGGGACGAAATCGTCGTTTATTCGGCATAAATTAACCCACGCAAAACGAAAAAACTTCATTTGCGATTTTTGCCAAAAATCTTTCTTAACTAAACTTTATCTTCAACGACATATAAACACGACCCATTTAGGTGTACCTAGAAAAAGAACTTCCAATAACATTTTTACATGCGATACGTGCGGTTTAACAACAAATAACAAACATACTTTAATTCAACATATAAGAACACACACAGGTGAGAGACCGTATAAATGTGATTTATGCGGAAAAGCTTTCGTTCAAAGCAGCACTTTGGGGACACACAAAAGAACGGTGCATTCAACAGAACGCCTTTTCACGTGCGAATATTGCAGCAAATCGTTTAACACAAAAGGATCGCTAACTAAACATATTCTAGAGGTCCATATGGTCGATAAAATCGAAAAGAAATTTTCGTGCAATTTTTGCGGAAAAAAATATCGCTTACAAAGCCAATTAACGTGCCATTTGAAATGGCACAGCTCAGAAAGACAATTTAGTTGCGATATTTGCGGGAAACCGTTTGTCGATAGACATTCAGTGAAGAAACACAGGGTTATACATTTTAGTGAGAAACAACATAAATGCGAGATTTGCGGTAAAGGCTTCCATCAAAAGTACAACATTAAAATACATATGAAAGTTCATTCGAGGGTACCCTGAAAGTTAATTTATTTTATAACGAAATAATTAATTGTTTATTTGCTTTAACAATTGTATATATTTCGCTTTTAATAAAGAAAAATCAGTTTAAATGTGTTTAATTGTTAATTTTTAATTAAGTAAATAACAATTATGTTGAGGTTATATTAACTGTCAAAAGTATTTATTTTTTTGGTCAAACATTAATTAATCTAGGTTTTTAAACAAATAGATGTCATTAAGTGTTTATGACGAAATAAATAGTTTAATAAAACTTCCGAGACAAGTTTTACCTGAGAAAGAAACATAACCTCAATTCAGTTGACAGTTAATTTTTAGTTGCTCATAATTTCTTTAAAACTATTACCATCCTTTCTAAACCATCCAAAATGGGAAGATCAGCGTCAGCTACATCTAATTTATTAGATTCTGGAAGATTTTGAACAATTTTGATCTTGAAAAGTGGATTTAAAGGTTGTAAAATTCAAACTTCTTTTGTGGTTGGAGAATCTTGAAACCTCCAATGGACGGCTGAAATAGAAACTCATATGCATCAAATACGCAGTTTCATCCAAATTAGTGAAGAATTAAAGAAGATATGAATAAAATAATGTTGGAATTTTGAGTGGTTCGAAAGAAATCCACTAGATGGCGTTTTCGTAATTAAGTAAAATTTGAAATTATTTTAAGGGAAGAAATGGCGCGAAACCCACCAACCAATCAGGAGTCGGAGTTAAAAATAGAACGAAGAAATTTTTTTGGGGAGGGAAAAAAGGGTATATAAGAAGAGGAAAAAGTTGAGTCAAGATCAGTCCAATTTAGTAAGAGTTAGAACACGGTTGAATTTTGATCTAAAAAAGTTATTATTATTATTATTAAACTGAGGAGAAATTACCTGTGTTTCGGATTGCTGTCCATTTTCCATTCCTAAGAGGGACCTTCAATCGAATTGAGTTACAACATAACCTAAAAGGTATTTATTATCAGTTAAGTGGGAATTTTGCCGTTAATTTTCATGTTAATAATTTAAAATAACCTATGAATGAATTGAAGAATCAAAATTACGCGATAACACTGTTACTTTCATTTTAATTGAGAATCTATCGATTATTATCGACCGATTTATATCTTTTTTACGTTCAATTTGACATCTGTCATTATTGGCGTTAATGAATTTAAAATAGAAATCTGTAATCTAAACTTTCCTTTTTGAACCTAAACTCGCTAAATTATTATTTTGTATAAAAAACTCTGAGATAAGAGAACTCAAAAATAAATTTAAACAATTTCAAATAAATAAAGTTTTGCTCCATCTTTATTGGTTTTAGAATCATAATAGATTTTAGTATTCAAAAATTATAATTTTTACGTTTTCAACATCTTTGGCATATTATAATAGGGAAACTAATAGAGCTAGAATAAAATCGATTTAGAAACATATCTTTTAGGATTTATAATAAACAAAATTTATTAATAAAATTTTGCCCTATGATTTTAAGTTTAAGAATTATGACAGATTTTAGTCATCAAAATCGTTAATTTTTTTGTTTTCAGCTTCTTACGTATGTAATGTGTTTAATTTATGTACATAACCTCAATAATTAATTAAAAAATTATTTAGAGGTTATGTTAACTGTCAAAAGTTAATAAATCTAGGTTTTTAAACAAATACTACAACAAATTAAGTGTTTATAACAAAATAAGTAATTTCTCCTTTTAATAAAGCTTCAACAACATAACCTCAATTCAGTTGACAGTTAATTTTTATTTGCTCATAATTCTCTCAAAACTGTTAATATCCATTCTAAACCATCCAAAATGGGAAAATCAGTGCCAGTTACATCTAATTTATTAGATTTTGAACGATTTTGACTTTAAAAATTTGATTTAAATTTGTTAGGTTGAAACTTCTTTTGTGGTTGGAGAATCTTGAAACCTCCAATGGACGGCTGAAATAGAAACTCATATCCATCAAATACGCAGTTTCATTCAGATTAGTGAAGAATTAAAGAAGATATAAATAAAATAATGTTGAAATTTTGAGTGGTTCGAAAGAAATCCGTTAGATGGCGTTTTCGTAATTTAGAAAGATTTGAAATTATTTTAAGGGAAGAAATTTTTTTGGAGAGGGGGATAAGGGTATATAAGAAGAGGAAAAAGTTGAACCAAGATCAGTCCCAGCCCCAGGGATCTTTGATAGGAGAACTTGGGACTGATTATATGTCGAAATCCCCCTGTAAGATGGCATTAACGTCTACACTAAAATAATTTAATTAAACTAACAATTTTATTATTAATAATGGGAATGATGACAGACAGCAATAACAACTATTGCCAGTATCATTCTTTTAATTTAAAAAGTATAGATTCCAAATCGTGTTATATTTTTAAATTTGCCGCTAACTTCACCTTTTAAAAGTTGAAGTTTGTTCAGAATGACAGATGAAAACGTCATTTTAAAGTGTTTTTTCGGTAAGAGTATAATAAAATAATAATGGTATGATTAAACCATTAAACCATAATTGACATTATAGCTTTGTTTCAGCTAACATTCGTTATAACTGGTTGGAAGCTCGTCAGATGCAATCTCACATGTCATATGATGCAGTAATATTCAAATGTGGTGGCATTATTTGACAGGTGTAATTGCCATAGGTAATTGCATCTGAGGAATTTCCAACCAGTCGGAACGTTAAGTGGAGCCACGTAGTCTAAACAGTTATTCTGTGCTTGGAACTTTTATATTTAAACCCAATCTAACTTATATTCTAGTGGTTCGGTTCTTAGCTGAATAATTCCAAAATATCCCCAACAGATGGCGCCACATGCGTTCCATTTTTTTATTAAAATTATTATTAATATTATTAAAATTTTACTACAATTACAACAACATTTATATTTATCTCAATCGATTTTATAAATTAACACTAAAACCCGACAAAGAACCAAGAAAAATTAAACCACAAACATTCAGCGTTCAAAATTGAGGTTATGTTTTCAACAAAGTGAGGTTATTTCCCAAAAGAAGGAGGAGAACGAAAACTTTATTTAGCAATTCACTCAAAGAGACATTGTATCCCCACACCTTTAATAATACAAGATATAAAATTATTTAAGGAAACATTTTAATCGATTTGTGAGGTTATGTTGTAATTTGACACAATTATTAAAAAAAAGTTGCGTTTTAGTATTCTAATAAGATAATTATTTAAAAAAAAATCTTCTTTTTACACAAACTTGTAAGCAGAGTAGTCCAATTTTTTCTATTTATTTATCAATTTTTTTTTTGAGGTTATGTCATAATAAAAACGTCAAAAAAATGTTTTTTTTAATCTTGTGTGGGTTCCGCCGCAACAAATTCAAGATTTTTGTACGCCCAAAATCCACGAAACTCAATTAAAATACTCAAAAAAGTATAATAATATATAATATAATAATAACCATATCGAATAATTCATCTTTAACATCTTGAAAATTGGTCAGTTTGGCACCATGGACCAGTGTTGCCAACTCTTTTAGTGTCTTGCTCAAATTTATTACCTTGTAAGAAATATCTCTTTTATGATAAGCGAATTTAGTAGATAATAAATAAAATTACAGGTTTCTGCAGTTTCTATCGACATAACCTAAGAAAAGCTGTCATTTTGACATTTACTATTAAGAAACACAACTCTTCCTTTTACAATTAAGAAAAATATTAGAGTTGATGACTTCTGGCATGATATTTCTTTAATGAAAAAAGGCGATGATACACAAATGTATACTTTATCAAGCCAATTTATGAGGAAATTACTTGCACTGTCGTTAATTTATTAAAAACTTGCAATAGAAACAAATTATCCACTGATACATTGCAAGGACTGCTACATACAAAACGATTTATCAACTTACAAGAACAACCTATTGAAGACCACTATAAATTAGTTAATCAAAGCATGTATTCTTTTAAAGAATTTACATTTATTTTACTTTTTTCTTATTTTTATCCTGAAAAATTGCAAGATTGATCCTGAAGTAACAACTAATGTTACAAAATTATTTCTTTTAGACTAATCAACTTAAATTAATATATAAATTCCCTATTTTAAAGTGAATAATTAAATAAAACTAATTAATACATAAAATGAAACAAACAGTAAAAATTATGCAACTTATATTGCATTATCTGCTCTAGTAACGTCTAAAAGTAGTGAAACTACTACTTTCTATAGTGTGATTAATTCTCCTAGACATATTTTGAGTTGGCAACGCTGCCATGGACCCTCATTTGCTCTTGAATAACCCCAAAGATATAATTTAAAGTAAAAGCATCCAAATATCATTTCAAAATCCGAAATAAAAACACAATCATTGAGGTTCGAATCGATTCTCTAACGCTAAAACTCAATGTAAATACGTTTTATAAACAATTTTTCCTGAGTATGTTAAACAAGTTTGGAAAATTCCCTCTAAAAATGGTACAAACTTACAAACTTTTCCTTTCGATTCAGGTTGAATACACGAAATTAGTGTATGATTCTTTTTCTTGAATTGTAATTGCAATTCGATGTTTTCGATTATTATTTAGGAGAAATTAATAAAATAAATTAAATATCGGTGATAGGTTAGGATTTTTTTTTTGACAGATTAATTATTATAAAAATATCGATAGATGGCGCAACTTACAAAAAAAAATTTTTATTAAAAGGATTTTCGAAAATTAATTAAATAATAATCAAAAAAGAGTTTATTTTATTTAAAAAAATAAGGTTAGCTATTGGATAAATTTTATATTATAAATAAATTATTTAATTTTAAATCGAACCTGAAGTTAGTTGCAAGCTAACGAAACGCCAAAAAAAAGTGAGGTTATCTCGCAAAACTATCGTAAAAGCTTATTTGCAGGATAAATTGTACCCAAACGATAAATAAATCGAGATGGTTAGGGGGTAAGTATATCTTTTTAATATTTTTGTTTGGTATAATTAAGATAAAATTGTAGAGTAACAAGAAGAGAAAGGAGCAGATCACCAGAGCGAAAACGACGAAGATCCAGAAGTAAAGACCGCTCTAAAAGACGTAGGAGTCGCTCTAGAGAGAGGAGAAGTAGATCACGCGATAGGAGAAGTCGATCGAGGGATCGAAAAGAACGCGAACGCAGATCTTATAGTAGAGAAAGAGATCGTAGAGATAGGGGGTAAATTTGGTTATAAATTAATAAAGCTTTTTATTAAATAATTTTTTTTTAGTACGGATAATAAAGATAAAAGATTTGGAAAATCGCGGCGAAGAGATCGATCCCCACGATCGCGTTCGAAAGGTAAAGATGACCCAGATTTACCTTTTGACCCAACAAATCTTGATAAAGAAGAAGAACAACGCAAATTGGAGTTGGAAATGCAAAAAAGGCGTGAAAGAATTGAGAGGTGGAGAGCAGAAAGAAAAAAGAAACAAGATTCTATAAAAAAGGATCAAAAAACTGCAACACCATCCTCAAAGAAATGGTCTTTAGAAGATGACTCAGAGGATGATGAGAAAGGGGTTACTGAAAAATCTGAGGATAAAATAGATGAGGAAAAAGTGGAATTAGAAGGTGAAAAAAGTGATGATAAAGAAAAAGATGAAAAAGATGAGATAAAAGAGGAGGAGGAAGAAATTGATCCTTTAGATGAATACATGAGGGGGGTCCAAGAAGAAGTGAGACAAATTAATAAATTTGATGTAAAAAAATCCAAACCGGATAATAACTCAAACAAAAGTTTGGTTATTTTTACAGGTGTGGCAAAATCAAAAGTAAGCAAAAACAAAGGCGAATTAATCGAGCAAAACCAAGATGGTTTAGAATACTCCTCAGAAGAAGAACAAGAAGATCTAAAAGACACCGCCGCTAACATAGCAAACAAACAAAAAAAAGAATTAGCCAAAATCGATCATAACGAAATCATGTACCACACATTTCGCAAAAATTTTTATGTTGAAGTCCCAGAAATAGCCCGGATGACCCAAGAAGAAGTCGACACTTACAAAGAAGAACTCGAAGGGATTCGCGTTAAAGGAAAAGGATGCCCAAAACCCATCAAAACTTGGGCACAATGCGGAGTCTCAACAAAAGAATTAAACATCTTAAAAAAACTCGGTTTTGAAAAACCCACCCCCATCCAAGCCCAAGCAATACCCGCGGTAATGTCGGGGCGAGATTTAATTGGAATCGCAAAAACCGGAAGTGGCAAAACACTCGCATTTTTACTCCCAATGTTTCGACATATTCTTGATCAACCACCTTTGGATGAAACGGACGGTCCAATTTCGATAATTATGACCCCAACGCGCGAATTATGCATGCAAATTGGAAAAGATATTAAAAAATTCACGAAAAGTTTAAATTTACACTCTGTGTGTGTTTATGGCGGGACGGGAATTTCGGAACAAATCGCCGAATTAAAACGAGGCGCCGAAATAATCGTTTGCACCCCAGGGAGAATGATCGATATGTTAGCCGCGAATGGGGGGAAAGTAACAAATTTAAGAAGGGTTACTTATATCGTTTTAGACGAAGCCGATCGCATGTTTGATATGGGTTTTGAGCCCCAAGTTATGCGAATTATCGATAATGTTCGCCCGGATCGACAAACTGTCATGTTTAGTGCGACTTTTCCCCGACAGATGGAGGCATTAGCGAGGAGGATTCTCCAAAAACCGATTGAAGTCCAAGTTGGGGGGAGATCCATCGTTTGTAAAGACGTGGAGCAACACGCCGTCGTTTTAGAGGAGGATCAAAAATTTTTAAAACTATTAGAATTATTAGGCCTTTATCAAGAACACGGGAGTATAATAGTTTTCGTCGATAAACAAGAAAACGCCGATATCTTACTAAAAGAATTAATGAAAGCCGCTTATAACTGTTTAAGCTTACACGGGGGAATCGACCAATTCGATCGTGATTCAACAATAATCGATTTTAAAAACGGCAAAGTTAAATTATTGATCGCAACTTCGGTCGCGGCGCGTGGATTAGACGTTAAACAATTAATCTTGGTGATTAATTACGATTGCCCGAATCATTACGAAGATTACGTCCATCGATGTGGAAGAACCGGAAGGGCCGGTAATAAAGGTTTCGCTTACACTTTTATCACCCCAGAACAAGCGCGATATTCCGGCGATATCGTAAAAGCCTTCGAATTAGCCTCAGTAACCGTCCCTGAATCGTTAAGAAATTTATGGGAAGCCTACAAAGCGAAACAAGAAGCTGAAGGAAAAAAAGTCCACACCGGCGGGGGATTCAGCGGAAAAGGATTCAAATTCGACGAAAGCGAAGCCGCCGCGGTTAATGAACGTAAAAAGTTCCAAAAAGCCGCTTTAGGATTACAAGATTCGGATGATGAGGATTTAGAGCACGATATTGATCAACAAATTGAAAGTATGTTTGCTACAAAACGAACGGTTAAAGAAATTAAAGCCCCCCTTGGGATTATTAACCCCGCTACGATTAACGCGCAAAATACCGCGATCGATAAATTAGAACTTGCGAAGAGATTAGCGTCGAAGATTAATTTAGCCAAAAATATAACTGGCGATACCAAATTTGCAACCCAACAAGCCGCCGAATCAATCTTAAAAGGAAGCGGAAGCCAACCTTTAATTACAGCTAAAACCGTAGCGGAACAATTAGCCGCGAAATTAAATACAAGATTAAATTATCAACCCAAAGATGAAGATGATCGAAATGATGAAGATTCCGAGCAAACGTTTAGGAAATATGAGGAGGAATTAGAGATTAATGATTTCCCACAACAAGCTAGATGGAGAGTCACATCAAAGGTAAAATTTTTTTTAACATTTCAACTTTAATTTTGACATATTAGTCAACTTCATAAAAAATCCTTTAACATGAGTCCAAACTCGACATATTTAACTTTAATATTAATGGAAATACAATCACTTCCGGTTTGAAACGTCAATTTTGACATATTTGTCATCTTCGTTAAAAAACCTTTAAAATGAGTCCCAACATGACGCACTTATCTCGAAAAACAAAAAAGTTAGAATAAAAATTAAAAATTTGTCAAAATGACATTGACATTTCTAACCGGAAATTGACCATAACTTCATTAACATTGAAGATAAATATGTCGTGTTTGTACTCATTTTAAAGGATTTTTAATGAAAATTACAAATATGTCAAAATTGAAGTTGCCATTTTAAACGTGAAGTTAGTTATCGTATAATAGAAGTTTTATAACTGAAGTTAATCTAATGTTAGTTACTTTTTTGAACTTTTAATTTTGACATATTTGTCATCTTCATTAAAAAACCTTTAAAACGAGTCCAAACATGACGCACTTATCTCGAAAAACAAAAAAGTTGGAATAAAAAAAACGTTAAATCCGAAGTTAGCAACAATTTAATTTTTAAATTTTAATACCAACCTTAATTTTTAATTTTTTTTATTATATTTTTGTTTTTGTGATAAATTTTAAGACATTTTATAAAAATTAAGAATATGTCAAAATGACGTTGACATTTCAAACCGGAAGTTGCTTATATCTCGAGTAATATTGGAATTAAACGTATCATGTTTGGACTCATTTTAAAGGATTTTTCACGACGATTACAAATATGTCAAAATTGACGTTGACATTTCTAACCGGAAATTGACCATAACTTCATTAACATTAAAGATAAATATGTCGTGTTTGTACTCATTTTAAAGGATTTTTAATGAAGATTACAAATATGTCAAAAGTGAGTCAGTTTTCCGCACTTTCTTTTTATTTTTAACGTGATTTTTGGGCCATTTCACGTTGATTAAAATAAATCGTCGATTTTTAAGCCACATGATGATGAATCTTGAATTTTTCCCAAGTTTCAGTAGAGTCTCTGAAGATGGCCAAAGGCCGAAACTGGTTAGACTTATGTTCTATATCCTAATAATGGCCTAATTATGCATTCCAAATAGTTTTCTTATATCACTAATAATAAAAAAAATATGAGGGTGAGCCACTTTTGAGGGACACCGGTATAGTTCTTAAGAATCTCCTCTATAGTTATTTTTAAAAAATGGCAACTCTAATTTTAATGTCAAAAGTGACATTTAAATGACATCTTAAAGATTAAATTTACAATTTTCTTACAGTTTGACATTCCAAATGATATGTCAACCTCAATTTTTGTTACCAATTGACGTTCTAACTGTCAAATTTGAATATTTTGCATCACACGAAAATTTTAATGTCAAAAATGACACTTAAATGACATCTTAAAGATTAAATTAACAATTTTTTTACAGCTTGACATTCTAAATAACACGTCAACCCTAATTCTTGTTACCAATTGACGTTCTAACTGTCAAATTTGATAATTTTGCATCACACGAAGATTTTAATGTCACAAATGACATCTTAAAAATTAAATTTACAATTTTCTTACAGTTTGACATTTCAAATGATATGTCAACCTCAATTTTTGCTACCAATTGACGTTCTAACTGTCAAATTTGATTATTTTGCATCACACGAAGATTTTAATGTTAAAAGAGACATCTAAATAATGGCTTAAAGACAAAATTGACAATTTGACATTCTAAATGACATATTTACCTTATTTTCTACAACCAATAGACATTCTAACTATCAAATTAGACACAAACCAGATTGATTCATCCAATCTGGTTATAAAATCGAATTATTACACCTTAAATTACAATTAGATTTTAACTCTAAAATTATTTCTTTTTTAGGAGGCTTTAGCCCAAATTTCAGAATATTCGGAAGCCGGGATAACAGTTCGCGGGACTTACGTCCAAACGGGAAAAGCACCCCCGGAAGGAGAGCGAAAACTTTATTTAGCAATTGAAAGTACCAGTGATATAGCCGTATCGAAAGCCAAGTCAGAAATAACACGATTAATCAAAGAGGAATTGTTAAAATTACAAACGGCGGGTCACCACACCTTTAATAAATCAAGATATAAAGTTATTTAAGGAAATATTTTAATCGATTTTGTGAGGTTATGTTGTAATTTGACATAATTATTAAAAAAAAGTTAATTTTATATATAAAAATGTGTTTTATTATTGTAATAAGAGTATTATTTTTAAAAAAATTATTCTTTTTATACCAATTTATAAGCAGCTTAGTCGAATTTATCGATTTATTTATAAATATTTTTTTTTTGAAGTGTGAGGTTATGTTGTAATTTGACATAATTATTAAAAAAGTTAATTTTATGTATAAAAACGCGTTTTATTATTGTAATAAGATAATTATTTTTAAAAAAATACTCTTTTTACACAAATTTGTAAGCAGCTTAGTCCAATTTATCGATTTATTTATAAATTTTTCTTTTTGAGGTTATGTCATAATCAAAACGTCAAATTAATTTTTTTTTAATCTTGCGCGGGTTCCGCCCCAACAGTTTCACTAGTTTCATACGCCCAAAATTCATGAAATTCAATTAAAATACTCAAAAAAGTATCACCTTGCCCACAAAAAATAGGTTGACTTTGATAAAAGTTATTAGTACCTAGCATTTTTTCCTAGTTTTTTCAGAAAAGGAATTTAATTATCTATAAACATTCCTCTAAGACGCCTGGCTAAACCTAAAACTTTCTAGTTTTAGGTCTACTGTTAGTTCTAGTTTTACTTGTTATTTAACCCCAAATTCTTGTACATTTTAATTGATGTAAAAATATTATTTTTTTTGATTTAATCCACTTACCTTGCTTATAATTTCATCCATTTACCCATTTTGAATTAAATACGACCTTTAAATCCAATTAATTATGTGTTTTTCATTAAAAAAACTTAAATTCAACCATTTTTTGACAAGCAACTGCAATATTTGGATCTTAATCACCATGGTAACCGAGTCAAGTTGGATAACCTTAAAATAAAAAAATTTTATTCCGATTTTTTATCAATAATTTTTATTAATTTTAAAACAATTCGAATTCTTTACGATTATCTCGCATTTTTTTTTAATATCTTTATATTTTTGTGTATTGCTTCTTAAGTGTAATACTCTGTATAAATAAAAACAGAAATGTCAATTCTTCCAATGACATCACAGCAAGGCTTTTGCAGGGGGATCAATAATCAATAAATGGTTAAAATTTTATTATAATAACAACAACATTTATGTTTATCTCGATCGATCTTATAAATTAACGCTTTAAAACCATCGACAAAGAACCAAGAAAAATTAAAACACAAACATACAGCGTTGAGTACTTGTCGAAAAATTGAGGTTATGTTATCTCTTAAAGGAAGAAGGAGAATGAAAACTTTATTTAGCAATTGAAAGTACGAGAAACACGATTAATCGAAGAGGAATTAAAATTACAAATACACCTTTAATAAATCAAGATATAAAGCTATTTAAGGAAATATTTAAATCGATTTGTGAGGTTATGTCGTAATTTGACAATTATCAAAAAAAAGTTAATTTTATATATAAAATTGCGTTTTATTGTTGTAATAAGAGTATTGTTTTAAAAAAATAGTCTTTTTATATCAACTTGTAAGCAATCTAGTTCAATTTATCGATTTATTTATAAAAAAATTTTTTTTTAGGTTATGTCATAATAAAACGTCAAAAAATATTTATGGTATTTTTTAATCTTGTGCGGGTTCCGCAGCAACAGATTCACGATTTTCATACGCCCAAAACCCATGAAATTCAATTAAAATGCTCAAAAAAGTATCACCTTGCCCACAATTAAGTAAATCTTGCAAAGTAATTTTTTCTGGGTCTTTTGGCTTAACCATATCGAACAATTCATCTTTAACATCTTGAAAATTGGTCGGTTCGGCGCCGTGGACCCTCATTTGCTCTTGAATGGCCCGAAAGAAATAATTTAATGTAAAAGCATCCAAATATCCTTGCCCCTTTATGTCCAAAATCCGAAATAAAAACGCAATTGCTTGGGGTTCCGATCGATTCTCTAATGCCAAAACTAAATCTAAATACGTTTTATAATCCATTTCTCCCGAGTATGTTAAACAAGTTTGGAAAATTCTCTCTAAAAATGGCTCGGTTAATGTTCCAGATCCATATCCGGCCAATTCCTTTTTATTTAACATTCCATTATGGTCTCTGTCCAAGTTTAAATAATGTCCATAAACGCGGAGCGCTGAAGGGGCACTAAACCAATTTAATTCTTGGAGATCTTTACTTAACTCTTCATCTCTTAGTTCTAATAAATCATCAAGAAATGAACAAGCCAAAACGTCTAAAATCCTTACTCGCCCCGCTTTTAACCCATCCAAAAAAAATAAAAACTTTCTAACAGCCGTGCACACATAAAAACTATGAAACGACTTCTCTAACCCTTCCAATTGAGGCAACGTCGTTAATAACTCAGAAATATAATTTTCTAAATCAGTTTCGCGCAAATATCCTTGTCCTGAAGCATCATACAAAGATAACCCCACCCGAGTTTGTTGAATCCAAACTTTTCGCATGATATAATTAAAAACCGACAAAACGGACACTTTTCCTTTCGATTCGGGTTGAATTAATTTCGTGTAAACTTTAGCGGTGAAATACGGTTTGACTTTGGGGCCGGCTAACGACGCAACCTTTTGAAAATCCCCGTACGTTATAAATTGTTCCTCAGCGTTCGTTTGGTGTTGCTCCAACAAAACCCAAACCGCTTTTAACTCGTTATTATCAAGCAATTGTCGGCTACGGCGTTGCAAGAAATTCGAACGAGTCTCTTCCCGTAATTTTTGACGTAAAGCATCGTCTTCCCGTGGTAATCTCCAGAAAAATTTTGGGATAACCTTCGAAGAAGTCGAAACGGGTTTTCCCCATTCACTCATTAATTTTTGAAATTCTTTATCTTCGAGTTCAATTTGATTCGGAGGAGGTGGTTTTTTATTCTTTAAACGGTTCTTTAAGATCGTTTTTAAATCCATCTTTTAATACATAACCTCAATCACGAAAGAAACCATTTTTTTTCAAACATAACCTCCAAATCAAAATTAATTTTATTTATTTTTATAATCTTTATTGTGTCAATACATACATAGTATGTTATTTTACTTAATACTATTTATTTTAATTAAAAAAATTAGTCTTGAGAGATAAAAGGGTTTTGAATTGATTCCATCCCATCAACTGGGCAAATTAATACCACACTTGTACCTCGACAAACAACCAAACCTAACGCTCTCGTTTCTTCCGTTAATTTAAAAGGATCATCGGGGTCTCTTAAATACTCCATTGTGTTATCAAGAACAAGGTTTAAGAGAGGATCATAACCTTTTAGTATTCCCGCAGCTTCTCTCCCACCCGCAAATTTAACCCTGATACTTTTCTCTAAATACTTTGATAAATCGAGGATTGATTCTTTGCGTTTCTTCTCTTTTTGATCGATCTAATAAGGATAAACATGAATTTATCACATTTCATTTTCATTAAAAAAAAATTACCTTTCCTTTATCTCCTGCAGAAGCCATTTATTTTAAATTATTCAAATTTATGATTTTAATAATCAAATAATAATTAATTATTGAGTTATATTTAATATAAACGAATATAATACGAATTCGTAACGAAAAGTAAGGTTAAGTTGAAATGTCAAATAATTGCCAACTTAAAATTTATTAAAAAAAAAATTTTTTAACACAAATTTTAAAAATTAACTTGAGCCCTAAAATGTTTTTGTAACTTATTTCCTCTACACCCCAACACCATGTTATATTTACTTTGTAATCGTTTCATATGATGTAAATCTCGCGCCTTTTTCGCCGCGACTTTTTGATCAGTTTCAGACCACCCCAAAGCTCTATAACTTGCTAAGACTTTATGAAGTTTCTTTTCATTCTTAGCTACAACAACAGCCCTATTTGGATTGATGCTTTGTCGATAATAACGCATAAGACTTCGATGTCCTATAACAGCTCCTGATGGTAAAACAAGTTGGAAATCTGAATCATCAAGTTCAGGAATGCTAACTTCACTATTTGAATCATTTTCTTCTTGATCAGGATAAGAAGAGGAGTAATCATAAAAATCTGCATATTCAGCTAATGTTTCGCCTTCGTGTAACATTTTGCAATGTCCTTTATCAATCATGTGTTTTTTTGCAGCATCTGAAGTGTGGAAAGTTTTTCCTTTCTCATTGCACCACAAACAAATAAATCCAGAATTGATTTTTTCGCCCAAATATAATAATAATCCTTTAATATCAATACAAAATTCTATGTCGGGTATAAAAAATCCATGCTCTTGAGTCATATGCTTTATAACATTTAATAAATTTTTACTATGATGCAAGCAAAACAAACAATCATTATTATCAATGGGATTCTCAATATCTTCCTCCCATTCATCACTATCCACTTCTTCCATTTCTTCATCATCTAATTCATCACTTTTCGGATTTTCCTTATAATTCTTTTCATTCTCTTTGTGCTTCTTCGAATTCAAATGATTATCATAAGCATTCCCATTACCAAACGATTTCCTACAAACTTGGCAATACGTGCTTGTATCCGCCGATAAATCTTCGTTTTGTGCACGTTGTAAGATCACTTTCTTTTGGAAATCTTCCGCTGAAACGGGGGGTAACTCCGCAACCTTCCTTTTTAGGTTATATCTGTGCCAATCACTTTTGTAGTGTTGTCTTTGAATATCACCGGTGTTAAATACTACTCTACAGGAAATACACGTAAAAGTATCCATTTATTTTCAATTTTTCTTTAAATTTATAAGAATGTGTTGAGAAATATTATGAAATATTTTTTGAGGTTATGTCGATAATGACGAAATCTAGTGGTAAAAGAAATCGTTCATTTTGATAAACCGTACATTCTAAAGCCATTCGATTTCTAAACTAACTCTAAATGAACTACGTATGTAGATATTAACCTAAAACACATTTAAAAACGTTATTTTTAAGATAAAAATCGTTCTTTTGAACGAACTCATCACTAGAGTCATCTAATATTTATCTTGACAATATTTCGAATATTTCAACTTTATTTATAGATTTATAAGGATTTTAATGAAATTTGATTTTAAAAAAATGATTAACTATTATCAGGAAATGAATAAAACATCATTTTAATTAATTTTAGCGGAAATATTATTAAAGAAAATTAATGACAATTAAATGAGTTAATGTGATGTGGCGCCATCTAGTGATAAAAAAAATCGTTCGTTTTGATAAATCCTACATTTTTTTATTTCTGAACTAATTCTAAATAAACTAAGTAGATATTAACCTAAAACACATTTAAAAACGTTATTTTTAAGTTAAAAATCGTTCTTTTGAACGAACTCATCACTAGCGTCATCTAATATTTATGTTGACAATATTTCGAATATTTCAGCTTTATTTATCGATTTATAAGGATTTCAATGAAATTTGATTTTGAAAAAATGATTAATTATTGTGGGAAAATGAATAAAACATGATTTTAATTAATTTTATCGAAAATATTATTAAAGAAGATTAATGACAATTAAATGAGTTAATGTGATGTGGCGCCATCTAGTGATAAAAAAGATCGTTCGTTTTGATAAATCCTACATTTCTTGATTTCTAAACTAATTCTAAATAACTTAAGTAGATATTAACCTAAAACACTGTTAAAAACGATATTTTTAAATTAAAAATCATTCTTTTGAACGCATCACTCATGTGTTGGAAATATTTCAGATTTCTGCCTTGTTTATAGATTTATAAAGCTTTCAATGAAATTTGATTTTGAAAAAATGATTAATTACTGTAAAAAAAAATGAATAACACCGACGATATTAATCAATTTAATTAATTTTAGGGGAAATATTCTAAAAAAGGATTAATGACAATTCAATGTGATGTGGCGCCATCTTGTGGGGGTATATATTAATTTCGTTTTAATTAAATTTAATTTTATTTGAATTTAATTCTATTAATTTAAATTACGAATTTATTTTAAATAAAATTATTTCGGATAATTGCTAAATAAATCTTGAAATTATTAAAATTAAAAAAATAATTAAATTACGGATTGTTGTTATTTAGGTTGGTATTACCACGGTAACGATTATCTGTCAAATCAGTTGGGGAATTTGTCAGTTTTCCTAAAGTGCAAAGAGTTAACGCCTGTTAGTTTTTGTTGGGTGTTTCTCTCGCCATATTACGCTTTTACAACGTTTTATCGAACCCGTTTTCTAATTAAACGAGAATTTTTCATCGCCGGATATGTAAATATAACCGATTATATCATCGTTTTGATAACAAGGTACGTAAACGCTCTTTGATCTTTCCTCTCTTGTGGCGTTTACAAGTTTGTTGGCCTTTCATTTGACATTTGCGTCCGTTTAGAAAACATCTAACCATTAGAATGTGTTTAGTAAAGAAAAATAAAAAAAATTACTTGCGTACTAGAAATGCAAACGAGCTTATAGCCACATTCTTCTTGACGTCACCGTTATAAGGTAATTGGTTTTAGAAAGCAAGAAAAGATAAGTCGTGAGATATCTGAAATTAGTTCAAATACTCACGGCTTTTTAAACAATTTAATCCCGTTTTAAAACCATGCTTATTAACACCGTTTATTAATTAATCAATATGTGGGGGTGTTCCAAAGAGGAAGTGACTCACTTATCCAATTTGTTTATTTAAATTTATTTATATTAATTTGTATTATTGTTGACAATTTAGATGCCACTTCCAAAAAGGGTGGTAATGCCCGTGCATGTCGCGCGAGGCACCTTACCGGAAGATTACCCACTACCTTCAGAACTTGAAGGAGTTACAAACGGTACTTTGGCCAACACCGTACGGCAATTATCGTCTTTATCACGACACGCCGAAGATTTATTTGGAGAATTAGCAAGGGATGCTCAAGAAATTTACGACCGATCGAACTCCCTTCAAGCGAGAATCGATAGGTTGGCTATTAAAGTGACTCAGTTGGATAGTACGGGTGAGGAAGTCTCCTTGCAAGATATCCACATGAGAAAGGCCTTTAAAAGTGCCGTTATATTCGATCAACACGTAAGTTTGGTTAAGATAAATTTATTTGCTTTGGGTGAATGGGTTGGGTTATTTATCTTTTTTTTGCATGATGAATTGAAAGGATGAATTGAAAGGATAAATATGATTAAATTTAAACGCAAAAAATTTGAGGTTAGGTTGCATTAAAATTGACAGATGTCTTTAAATTAAAAAAAAAGATTTGTAACCAAAAATGATTTTAATTATTAATAAAGGAATTAAATATTACTTACCAAAGCTTAATTTAACACAATTTCACTTTGTTTATTAGGAAAATCCTTAAAAAAATTTTTTTATGACAATGACGTTTTAAAACTTAATAAATACCAACCTAAACCTAATAAAAAAATAAATTATTTTTATTCTAATTTTTTTATATTTATTGTTATTTTTAATATTTAATTTAGAATATTTTTATAAACGTCGATTTTTAAAGAAAATCATTAATAAAGCAAGTTTTCATCAATAAATAAAAATAATTTCCCAAAAAAAAATGTTATGATTTAACATAACCTTGGTTAAGAAAAATATATTTGCTTTGAGTGAATGGGTTGGGTTATTTATGTTTTTTTGCATGATGAATTGAAAGGATAAATATAAATATGATTAAATTTAAACGCAAAAAATTTGAGGTTAGGTTGCATCAAAATTGACAGATGCCTTAAAATTAAAGAAAAGAAGATTTTTAACCCAAAAATGAATTTAATTATTAAGAAACGAATTAAATATTATTTACCAAAATTTATGCATGGTGAATTAAAAGCATAAATATGATTAAATTTAAACGCAAAAAATTTGCGGTTAGGTTCGCATCAAAATTGACAGATATCTTAAAATGAAAGAAAAAAAGATTTTTAACCCCAAAATGATTTTAATTATTAAGAAAGGAATTAAATATTACTTACCGAAACTTAATTTAACACAATTTAATCACAATTTCACTTAGTTTATAGGAAAATCCTTAAAAATTTTTTTTATGACAATGACGTTTTAAAACTACTAAATAAATACCAACCTAAATATAATAAAAAAATAATTTAATTTTTTTATATTTACTGTTATTTTTAATATTTAATTTACAATGTTTTTATAAACGTTATTTTTTAAAGAAAATCATTAATGTGTCAAGTTTTCATCAATAAATAAAAATAATTTTCCAAAAAAAAATAATTTAAGATTTAACATAACCTCAATTTTTATTTTTAATTTATTTACATTATTTAATTAATTCTTTTTATGAATTAGATTTTTTCAAGATCAACCATGCCAACGGCTCTTCTAGAGATGTATAAAACATGCGATAGACCACCACCTCTTGATAAATTAAATTGTTACCGTGAAGATGGTAAAGATGGTTTAAAATTTTATACGGATCCGAATTATTTCTTCGAGTTATGGAGAGACGAAGTACTCAAAGACACCGAGAGGGTGATGCACGATCGGGGTAAAAAGCCGCATCGACCTCGACCGGAAAGTGGTCAAGGTGGGGGAAGGCATAAAAAGAGGGTGAGACAACCGGTTAACACGAAAGAGCGTCAACGTGAGAGGGCTATCGGTCATGGAGAGTATATTATGCCTTCAACTGTTCCATATGGGCAATTTCCTGTGCAAGATTATGGTAATAAAGTGGAGCAAAACCAGCAATGGGAGCAACAAAAGCCTTCAAGACCGATTTCGATTGATGTTCAAAAGACTTATCTTCAACCAGAGGTTCCAGATGGTCCTGTTTATCCCCCGCAATATGTGGAAACAACGAATCCATATCAAGCTGGGTTATATAACTCTGGTCCTCCAGATAGTCCAGGTCCTATGGGGACTCCAACAAAAGTTAATAAGATCAGACCGAGTCAACCACCTCCTGCTCCACCAAGCAACCCACAAACACCATCCGCAAATACTCCAACAAGAAGTCGGAGTATGTCAAGTAAAGATTTACCACCACCCCCACCGCCTCCCGAAGCAACGATTTCTCCACCAAACGGTTTACCCCCTCACATTGCTCGCCAATCGAGTCAATCACGATCGAATAGTCCTCATTCCCACCAAGGAACCCCTGAGCCTGATTTACCACCTCCACCTCCCGTACCTAAACAAGCATCTCCTCCAAAACAAGCGACTCCAGTTGTACAAGCACCTCCGCCGCCTCCACCGCCCCCAATGCCGTTATTAAACGGACCCGGTACAATGAGTCCCCCCACACAATTTAGTAACGGAGATATAGTTCAAATGATTACTTCAACTCCAAAATTAACTCCAGTTAAAGATAGGCAAATTTCGAAGCAAGGTCCTCCCGTGGTTGATACGCGAAATGATTTGTTGAAGGCGATTAGGCAAGGAATACAATTGAGGAAGGTTGAAAAAACGGAACAGAAAGAGGTTGAGCATAAAAATGGGTTGCATGATGTTGCTAGTATTTTAGCGAGGAGGGTTGCGGTTGAGTTGAGTCCTTCTGAGTCGGATTCTGACTCAGATATTGATAGTGATGGGTGGGATGAGAATGAAACGTCTGCGTGACACCGTAGAAAGGCTAGCACTGCTAGCCAAGTTTATTGATGATGATGATGATAAAACGCACAACGAAATAATTTAAATTAATGCGATGTTGGTAAAGAAAAAATATTAATGTTTATTAAAGAAGCTGATTGGATTTTTTTTTCTTTTTGGGGGGGAGTGAACGATGTTAATGTATTTAGTCAATTTATTTAAACTCAGAAATAAAATCAGTCAGTGTTAAGTATCAAAATTTAAGCTTCCAAATATATTAAACACGGAATTGAAAATAATAAACAAAACATTTTAAGAATAAATAATGATAGCTTTGTATGTTTAATTCTTTTTGCAATAACAATTTATTTCCGTTATGAATCATGTATTGGATTTAAAAGAGATAAGGTGCTTAATTTTAAGCCATTTCCATTTTAATACTAATTATAATGAAAGAAAAAATACTATAATCGAAACTGCAGTATTATGAGATGAATATATTACGAAATATAATAAATTTATAAGTACTATAGAAAAATAAAGCCGTAAAATACTCCCTATTTTTATTAAGAAATATTACCAGACAGTTTCTTTTTGATGTATGTATATTTTATGTGTATGTATGTAAATAATTGTGAAATTTGTTCTATGTGCGCTTTTACTGTTAATTTAAAAGAAAAAAATCTGAAAAGATTGTTTATAAATGAACATATTAGTATAATTATAAATATATATCAATATTTTTTATTGTAACCTGCCTAAACATGATTACAAGTTATATGTACTCTACAAAATGAATAAAAAGTAGTTAAAAAAACATCTTTTATTCATAAATCCACATTAAAATAAAAAATTAAGATGTTCTCATGGATGGGGAACATAGCCTTGGTTAAGATAAATATATTTACTTTTTTTGCATGATAAATTGAAAGGATAAATATAAATATGATCAAATTTAAAAGCAAAAAATTGAGGTTAGGTTGCATCAAAATTGATAGATGTCTTAAAATTAAAAAAAAATTTAACCGATTTAACGATTTTTAACCAATACTGATTTTAATTATTAATAAAGGAATTAAATATTACTTACCAAAACTTAATTTAACCACAATTTCACTTTGTTTATAGGAAAATCCTTAAAAAAAATTTTTTTTTGACAATGACATTTTAAAACTAGTAACTTCATAAATACCAACCTAAGCCTAATAAAAAAATAAATTATGTTTATTATAATTTTTTTATATTTGTTTTTTATGTTTAATTTACAACATTTTTATAAACGTCGCCTTTACCGTTACTTATCTTGTTTTGCATGATGAATTAAAAGGATAACTATAAATATGATCAAATTTAAACGCAAAAAAATTGAGGTTAGGTTCGCATCAAAATTGACAGATGTCTTAAAATTAAAAAATTTTAACCCAATAATGATTTTAGTTAAAAAAACATCTTTTATTCATAAATCCACATTAAAATAAAAAATTAAGCTGTTCTCATCGGTGGGGAAACTAAAATTACTCCATCCCCACGAACAAACAACATCGGAATGGTTCTCTTTGTGGATCGGTAAACTTCCTCATACGTTTCTTCATCGATCTCACAACTAGTTATGGTTTCTTCCGCGTCGCTAAGCACCATATTCATGTGTTGATCATAAGCATGAAGTCTTCCTCGTAATTCGCGGTCGTTTCTCATTTTTACATAAATCCTTTCATCCAAACTTAACCTCACTAAATCTAGAGGTTCTTTAACGGTTATTGGAGGGATCTTAAAACATAATTAATGCAAAAAAGATACTTTAATTAATTATTACTTACATTATCTCCATCATCAGCCATAATAACTACTTAATTTATTAAAATATTCAAGTAAATTTGTGTTAGTTGTTATTTGAGGTTAGATTTGTTTACACTTTTATTGACGCGACTTAAAGCGACATCTATGATTATGTACACGAAGAAATTTTTAAATTTTTTATAAAAATATATTAATAAACAAATTTTATGTAATAATTCAGGTTAAAATTAATGAATTAAGCTATTCTTATCGGTGGTGAAACTAAATTACTCTATTTCCATAAATAAACAACATCGGAATGGATTATATTGAAGCGAGTTAACGCGACATCTATGAATATGCAGACGAAGGAATTTTTAATTATTTATAAAAATAAATTAATAAATACATTTTAAACAACAATACAGGTTAAAATTAAAAAATTAAGCTGTTCTCATCGGTGGGGGAACTAAAATTACTCCATCCTCACGAACAAACAGCATCGGAATGGTTCTTTAGATTTGTTTACGCTTTTATTGACGCGACTTAAAGCGACATCTATGATTATATAAATGAAGAAAATTTTAAATTATTTATAAAAATTTATTAATAAACAAATTTTATGTAATAATTTAGGTTAAAATTAAAGAATTAAGCTATTCTTATCGGTGGTGAAACTAAATTACTCTATTTCCATGAATAAACAACATAGGAATGGATTATATCGAAGCGTGTTAACGCGACATCTATGATTATGCAGACGAAGGAATTTTTAATTATTTATAAGAATAAATTTTAAGCAACAATACAGGTTAAAATTAAAGAATTAAGCTGCTCTCATCGGTGGAGGAACTAAAATTACTTCATCCCCACGAACAAACAACATTGGAATGCTTCTTTTTGTAAATCGATTAACCTCATATTATTTCTTTATTGATTTCAAAACTGGGTATAGTTTCTTCTACGTCGTTAAGACAATAATCGTGTTTCGATTTTAAGCAGGAATTTTTGTTATAATTCGCGTTCATTTCCCATTTTAATATAAATCCTTTCATCCAAACTTAACCTCACTAAATTTAGAGGTTCTTTAACTGCTATTGGAGGGATCTTAAAACATAATTAATGCAAAAAAGTAATTAATACTTACGTTATCTCCATCATCAGTCATTATATTTAATATATTTAAGTAAATTTGTGTTAATTATTTGAGGTTTGATTTATACTCGGATTTTATTGACGCGACATCTATGACTATGTAGAAGAAGGAATCTTTAATTATTTATAAAAATAATTTAATAAATAAATTTTAACCAACAATACAGGTTAAAATTAGAGAATTAAGCTGTTTTCATCGGCGGTGAAACTAAATTACTTCATGTCCATGACTAAACAAGATCGAAATGGATTATATCGAAGCGACTTAACGCGACATCTATGATTATGCAGACGAAGGAATTTTTAATTATTTATAAAAATAAATTAATAAATAAAATTTAAGCAACAATACAGGTTAAAATTAAAGAATTAAGCTGCTCTCATCGGTGGGGGGACTCAAATTACTCCATTCCCACGAACGAACAACATTGGAATGCTTCTTTTTGTAAATCGATTAACCTCATATTATTTCTTCATGGATTTCAAAATTGCTTATAGTTTCGCTAAGACCATAATCATGTATTGATATTAAGCAAGAATTCTTGTTCTTAATTCGCGAGCTTTTCTCATTTTAACATAAATCGTTTTATCCAAACTTAACCTCACTAAATCTAGAGGTTCTTTAACTGCTATTGGAGGAGTTTTAAAACATAATTAATGCAAAAAAGTTTTTTTAATTAATTATTACTTACGTTATCTTCATCACCAGCTATAATAAATGCTTGGTTTATTTATATATTCAAATAAATTTGTGTTAATTGTTTTTTGAGGTTAGATCTACACCCTGATTTAATTGAAGAGAACTTCAAAATAACTTGAAAATCTTAAAATAAACCTTGGTGTTTGCCAAAATATTTAAGTTTAACTTCAAAGCTGTTTTTCAAACGCAAGCTGATTTAGTTGCAGTTTAAATGCAATAATAACAGGTTCAAGGTACTAAAAGTAATAGAAAAAATTAATTATTACATATTTTTTTGAAAATGCCTCTGAATATAATTACAAAAAGTAGTGATGATGATAAACATTCAGCAGATATAAACAGTTTAATCCATAAAAATGGGAAGATTTATTCGGGGGCCGATGATGGGAAAATTAAGGTTAATACAAAAATAACTCACCAAAGAATAACTTCAATAAATTTGTAGATGTGGGACTTAAATTTGAACAAAATCGGGGAAATTGAAGCTCATCCCACCACCGTTTACTGTTTAACTTCGAGTGATGAAGATTTATTTTCATGTTCAAACGATGGTTTGATAAAATCGTGGTCTTTAAACGATTTGATTCAAAAACAAGTTATTCATCAAGGTGATAACGAAGTTTACCGGGTCTTTTACTCAAACGGAATTTTATATTCTTCTGATGAAATCGGAGATATTCGATTACATCAACAAAACGAGCTTAAAGCCCAATTTAGCTTATTAGAACCACATAGAGAATTAATCATCCACGATGGATTAATGTACACTTGCAGAGATTTAGATTTGGTTATATCAGAGTTTACAGGTAGATTTTATCAAAAAATTAATTCAAATTAAGATCTACAACGTTTTATTTTAGGCGAAAAAACATTTCAAGTAAAATCGTCTTTAATGGGGAGAGCCCCTTTATGCATCATTGATAATTATTTATGTTTTTCAAGTCGTGGAGGTAAAGATATATGTTTGCACAAAAATAACGATGATTATGTAGCAGTTGGAATCGTTCAGGTAAATTCCTTATTATTTTTAAGTAACTGACTTTCGTAATGAATAATTATTTTTAGGCTGCTCACGAAATGATTATTAATGCTTTGGTTGGTCTTAAAATAAACGATGAAGTGTATTTATTTAGCTCCGGTTGGGATAAAACCATCAAAAAATGGAAAATTAGTGAAACTGGATGTAGTTTTGTTGAATCTTGTGATGTTGAAGCTGTTGTAAATTGTTTAATTGTTGATGAGGGGAATTTATATGTAGGATGTGGTGATGGTAGCGTTGTTAAAGTTGGATTATAAAAGAATTGTAGATTAAAAAAGTTTTTAAATTAAATTTATTTATAAAGATAATATTGATCATAGATTAGATATGATGTCATATTAAAGAACACTCTGTAACCTTTAATTTGAGATATAAATCATTTCTTAATTCCTATAAATAAATCAGAAATGATTATTTAAAGATTTCATCAAATTGTCATCTCTAACCTCACAATTTCTTTCTCAAAATTCTCAATAATTACATTGTTTTATAAAGGTTATTATACATCATTTTAAAGAGGATATTTCAAGCTTTCTTTTAACATGTAACTCGTTTCTTAATTCCAAGTAATAAAGCAGAAATGATTTATTAAATTAAACAATAATTTTTTGACAGTTCTTTCTTCAATCATTATTATCTCCCAAACTAATCTATTTAACAAATATCATATTAAAGAACACTCTGTAACCTTTAATTTGAGATGTAAATTACTTCTTAATTCCTATAAATAAATCAGAAATGATTATTTAAAGATTTCATCAAATTGTCGTCTCTAACCTCACAATTTCTTTCTCAAAATTCTCAATAATTACATTGTTTTATAAAGGTTATTATACATCATTTTAAAGAGGATATTTCAAGCTTTCTTTTAACATATAACTCGTTTCTTAATTCCAAGTAATAAAGCAGAAATGATTTATTAAATTAAACAATAATTTTTTGACAGTTCTTTCTTCAATCATTACTATCTCCCAAACTAATCTATTTAACAAATATCATATAAAAGAACACACTTTAACCTTTAATTCGAGATATAAATTATTTCTTAATTCCTATAAATAAATTAGAAATGATTATTTAAAGATTTCATCAAATTGTCATCTCTAACCTCACAATTTCTTTCTCAAAATTCTCAATAATTACATTGTTTCATAAAGGTTATCATACATCATTTTAAAGAGGACATTTCAAGCTTTCTTTTAACATCTAACTCATTTCTTAATTCCAAGTAATATACCAGAAATGATTTATTAAATTAAACAATAACTTTTTGACAGTTCTTTTTTCAATCATTTTTATCTCCCAAATTAATTTATTTAACAAATAGATTATGATGTCAAATTATAGAACACTCTATAACATTTAACTTGAGATATAAATCATTTCTTAATTCCTATAAATAAATTTGAAATAATTATTTACAGATTTCTTCAAATTGACATCCAACCTCACAATTTCTTTCTCATTATTCTCAATAATTACATCATTTCATCATACATCATTTTAAAGAGGACATTTCAAGCTTTCTTTTAACATCTAACTCATTTCTTAATTCCAAGTAATATACCAGATAAAATTTATTAAATTAAACAATAACTTTTTGACAGTTCTTTTTTCAATCATTTTTATCTCCCAAATTAATTAATTTAATAAACAGATTATAATATCATATTAAATAACACATTAACTTGTGATATAAATCATTTTTTAATTCCTATAAATAAATCAGAAATGATTATTTACAGATTTCTTTAAATTGACATCCAACCTCACAATTTCTTTCTCATTAATCTCAATAATTACATTATTTTATAAAGGTTATCATACATCATTTTAAAGAGGACTTTTTAAGCTTTATTTCAACATATAACTCGCTTCTTAATACTAAGTAATCCAAAATTATTGTTTAAATAAAACAATTATTTACAGATTTCTACTTTTCATAAAAAATTTATTAATAAAAACACACATAAATAAATAAACTAATACTTTGCATTAAAATTGAAGTTAGTATAAAAAATAATACTAATAAACATTTGTAACATAACAAATCTACTGAAATTTATCTCTAACCGATAAGAATTCAGTTGCTTTTTGATGTGCCCCCGTTTGAGGGCCCTTTTTGAACTTCCCCGACCTTTTAATCCCTATATACCAATTCGAATAAAGGCTGGAGCAATAAACTTTGTACTGTCGACTATTTAAAGATTCAACAAAAACCGTTCCTTCAATCCACATATTATTTTCACCATACAAGCGCCCGTTTTTGTCCATTGCTAAGTAAAGATTCGTTAATAATCCAAAGATTCTTACGTAACCAACCGGCCCAGCGTTTTTTAATTCCAAATAAGCTAAAAAAATAATATTAAAAAGATTTAATTTTAAATGTACTCATTTTGCGTGCTTATTGGGTTGCCTATCTTAGTGACATTTAATAATTTTTTTTTTAAATAATTAAAAATTAGCCTTTTTTAGCAAAATAAGTACATTTTCTGTTTTATTTACTGTGTAAATCGTTTTGATCTTGAGTTCCTCGTACAGTTCCATCAGGGTAAATAGCTAAAAAATGTTTTGTTCTTGAATACAATTGCATGCGATTTCCAAAATTGGGATTTCCATAAAAGGAAAGTTTAACTTTCTTTGTTGACTCGTTAAAATGGTTTGATGATGAACTGGGGGTTGGATTATTTTCATCGTCTTCAACGCCACACCTAAATTAATTTATCATTTTAAATTAAGGTTTATTTTTGAGGTGGATATTTACCAAGCAATTTCACGTTTTTCTCTTAAAACACCATCATCAGTCTCATCTTCAACACTATCATCATCACTTGAACTCTCATTGGGAACTGGGTCAGTGCTCATTTTATTTTAAAGGTGAAAATATACAAAATATTGATCTAAATGGTGATCTAAATTTTAATCTAATTCCTTATCTTGTACTTTATTAATAAAATAAACTTGAAATGATTAAGTTTGATTCTCTATTTGCGTAACAAGGTTATGTTTTGTGTTCTAAAGCCTGTTATGTATTAGAGGTGGGCGGTAAACTTAAAATGAATTAAAGGCTTGTTTAAGAGTTTCGAACCGACTCTAAACTCTAAACAAAATATGCATAGTTATATGGGGGAACGAAAATAGAATCATGGTCGAGATTGAAAACGTAAATTCTATCCTCGTAACCGAAACTATTTACAATTTTTATTTTTTGAATGGAATGAGGTCCAAAACATTTTCGAATAAAACAATCAAAGGAAATCTTGAAATTATTGGTACGTTTAAAAATAGAAATGATTCATCACTTTAAATTCAATCGTTAAATTTAATTGCATACAAATAGTAATAATTAAAAGTATTGTTTATTAAAATAAAAAAAAAAAAAAAAATAGGTTGGTATCATATTTAATAAATTTAGTGTCACTTTGACGTTTAAACGTCATTTTAAATATGCAACGTAAAATTAAATTTAAAATGTAATTATTGCAATTATAAAAGATCAGATGACGTAAAATTGATTAAGTAATAAAATAATTTATAACCATTGTTTAAAAAAATCGCCATAAAAAATTTAAAATCGCTTTTTCGAATCAATTTGATTCAGAACGATGAAGTTGATACTTTTAATTAATTTCTTGTCCATAGTATCCATTTCTTTGGGTTCTATGTACGTAGAGCGAGCTATTGTTACTGGTAAAATTGGATTTAAGTTTTCAATATTATAATCTAAAATTAAAATTTTGTTTTAAGATGCGACTTTGAAGAATCAAGGGTATTCTTGTTATAAACCCGGTTTAAACCCAATGAAAGACAAGGAAGTAAATGCAAAACCTACGCCGTATTCATGCGAAAAAGTTGGTTGCCAAAATGGGGTGTTAATTTTTGAACGTTGTCCTATGGTTAATATTGAAAATGATAAAGCTCCACCCGGAGATATAACAAAACCTTATCCTTTTTGTTGTTATGATTTATAAAAATTGTTTATTATACATTTCAATTTAGAATTAATTTAATTTTAAAAAGATTAAAAAAATAAAATTTTAATGTTATGCAACCAATTTTACACAAAATGATATCTGTCAAATAAAATTAATTAAAAATAATTATTCTAAAGGAATTCACCCCACATGAAACTACATACACGTAATTAAACAAATATAATTTATAAATAATTTATTTATTTAATCGGTTATACGTGGGTGATTTTTTTTGGTAAGGAAGTCAATTTTGGTTTTAAGATGTGACTTTGAAAAATCAAGAGTATTTTTGTTATAAACCTGGCTTAAACCCGATGAAGGACAAGGAAGTTAATGCAACCCCTTCGTCGTATTTTTGCGAAAAAATTGGTTGAAAAAATGGGGTATTAATTTTTGAACGTGTCCTATGGTTAATATTGAAAATGATAAAGCTCCACCCGGAGATATAACAAAACCTTATTCTTTTTGTTGTTATGATTTATAAAAATTGTTTGTTATACATTTCAATTTAGAATTAATTTAATTTTAAAAAGATTAAAAAAATAAAATTGTAATGTTATGCAACCAATCTTACACAAAATGATATCTCAAACGTGACGTCACATCAACTCATTTTTTGGTCCGTTTTTCACTTTTCCGCACTTTTTTTTTTATTTTTACATACATTCTGAAAGGCATTTTGATTTGTCATGTATTAAACAGAAAATTGTAAATTATTAATTGACAATAAAAAAACGTTAATATTAATTTAATTGTATAATTAGCTACACAATATATGTTTATGTATGTATGGTTGCCTATTTCTTAAATAGTTAACAAAGTTTCTTATAAAATAATCAATAAATATAAAAATCTATTCTTAATTAATTGTAGTTTTATTTAAAGCAAAGCAAAATTTTTTAATGAATAATAATTTTAGTTAGGTGGGAAGAAATAAAAATCGGTTTTTATGAAACAATTTTATTAATGTAAATTAGCATTTGCACAGATTTCTATTTTATCGACATATTTTACAGTTTCCTGTAATGGAGTTTAAATTTTAATTGAATTGCCAAAATATGTTTATAAGTTTGATTAATGTCAGTTTATTTAATTAAATTAGTTAATAGATGTCGCTGTTACCAACAGAAATTAATTTAATTTTTTAAATATTTTATTAATCTTCGAGGAGAACCAGTTCTGTGTCCATTTCTTGGTTTTTCATGGTTCAACATAGATTTCAAGACTTTCTTTGAGATGGCTTCTATGATATGGCTCATTAGTAAGTTGAACAAGAAGAGATTATTATTAATGATATTTTTATTTAATAATTAAGATAATTAAATAAGAATTGACTTAAATTTTCAATTTATTTACAACTGTTCAACATGTTCTTATACACAATTAAAGTTAAAAGAAAGGGAGGGCAAAATGCGTCCAAACAAAAAGCGTCCAGCATTAATAACAACTAAGATGTAATTTCATATTAAAAAAATGTGATGATAATCGATTTCTTTGAAGGGGGGAAATAGAAGGGGGAAAATTTTATTGTCTGCATTGTTGTAAACAATAAAAACCTCTCTAAAACGCTCCATACATGCGCTCCTTAAATCATCATCAATATGTTATTACCATTTGATTTTCATCAAACCGATTTTTGTTTTCATTTTTATACAATATTTACACAATTGTACATATGGTACATACACAGTTTCAATAAAAAGATGAGAATAAAATTATTACAATGATTAAAATAGGAATATTGAACGAAATCAAATTTTTTTTTCTTTTTCTTTGAGCAAATTTTTCGTAATATATTACTGCTGATCCGTAGTAAACGCTGTTATCCCCATATCCGACATATTATCCAAAATTTTTGTCACATATTCCGCAACATCAACAGCTTCACTTGCTGAACGTATTATAAAAGGATCTTGTAATAATTTATTATATTTAGGTCTTGAACTTTCTTCTTTTATCAAACTAAAACAAAAATTTCATTAATTAAATAAAAAATGAATAAATAAATAAATAAACACACCAAGTATTAACGAAGTGAACGAATTCTTGGGTAAAAGTGTTCGCGTTATGATTGCCACCATTATAATTAGTAGTTAAACGTGGCGCGGGGCCATTAACAACCTGATGGAGTTGATCGAAAACACTCGACCATTTGGGATAAGGAAATTGGCCGGTGGCGACTTCGAAAAGTGTTATTCCTAATGACCAAACATCACTGCGAACATCGTAACCTTTAACGCCTTGCGGATCGATTCTTTCTGGCTGTAATAAAATTCGTTTGAAGTTTGATTCGATTAAATTAATTTTATTCATATACGATACGATTTCCCCCCTCCACTCGTTCTGATTAAAAGAACACCATACTGTTCAGTGGGAAATTAAAATTTCAAGTTAGAAAAAAATTGTTTTAACAAACACTGCTCCTGAAGCAATTCTTAACAAACATTGTTAACAAAATTTTTTGATTTAATCAATAATTAAGGAGATAACCACAAAATAATAATTTTTAAATTTTTATCATAATTATACTTAGATGCTTAATTAATAGAGATGTAAAAATTTTTTATTAAGATAATTGATTCAAAATCGAAATTGAAACAAATTTTATTTAAAACATTTTTTGATAAAAACAATAATTATTGAGATAATTAATTTTGATAGCATACTATTCAGAGGGAAATTAAAATTTCAAGTTAGCAAAAAATTGTATTAACAAACACTGTTCCTGAAGTAATTCTAAACAAATTTTGTTAACAACATTTTTTGATTAAATCAACAATAAGGATATAACCTCAAAAATATTAATTTTTGTAGCATACTATTCAGTGGGAAATTAAAATTTCAAGTTAGAAAAAAATTGTGTTAACAAAAATTGTTCCTGAAACAATTCTAAACAAACTTTGTCAACAATTTTTTTTGATTTAATCAATAATTAAGGAGATAACCTCAAAATAATAATTTTTCCGTTTTTATACATAATTATACTTAGATGCTTAATTAATAGAGATGTAAAAATTTTTTATTAAGATAATTGATTCAAAATCGAAATTGAAACAAATTTTATTTAAAACATTTTTTGATAAAAACAATAATTATTGAGATAATTAATTTTGATAGCATACTATTCAGAGGGAAATTAAAATTTCAAGTTAGCAAAAAATTGTATTAACAAACACTGTTCCTGAAGTAATTCTAAACAAATTTTGTTAACAACATTTTTTGATTAAATCAACAATAAGGATATAACCTCAAAAATATTAATTTTTGTAGCATACTGTTCAGTGGGAAATTAAAATTTCAAGTTAGAAAAAAATTGTGTTAACAAAAATTGTTCCTGAAACAATTCTAAACAAACTTTGTCAACAATTTTTTTTGATTTAATCAATAATTAAGGAGATAACCTCAAAATAATAATTTTTCCGTTTTTATACATAATTATACTTAGATGCTTAATTAATAGAGATGTAAAAATTTTTTATTAAGATAATTGATTCAAAATCGAAATTGAAACAAATTTTATTTAAAACATTTTTTGATAAAAACAATAATTATTGAGATAATTAATTTTGATAGCATACTATTCAGAGGGAAATTAAAATTTCAAGTTAGCAAAAAATTGTATTAACAAACACTGTTCCTGAAGTAATTCTAAACAAATTTTGTTAACAACATTTTTTGATTAAATCAACAATAAGGATATAACCTCAAAAATATTAATTTTTGTACCATACTGTTCAGTGGGAAATTAAAATTTCAAGTTAGAAAAAAATTGTTTTAACAAACACTGTTCCTGAAGCAATTCTTAACAATAATTGTTAACAAAATTTTTTGATTTGATCAATAATTAAGAACATAACCTCAAAAAAAATTTTATATACAGGCTGCCCATTATGTATGGAATATTGTATATATCTTAGCAAGTATCAACTTTATAAAAAAACATTTTATACAAAAGTTGGTTAGTATTTTATTTGCCAAATAAACTAAAAATTAGTGTAAATGAAAATTATTAAACTTTGAAGACAAAACGAAATTAGCACTATAATGGTTTTCACGACAATAAATGTTCGAAATGTTCACCATTAACTGCGAGAGAAATAGCTGCAGCTTCATCTTTTATTCGTTGCTCTAATTCTGTCAGATTTTGAGGTCGGTTTACATAAACTTTAGATTTTAAATATCCCCAGAAGAAGAAATCGCAAGGTGTAAGATCCGGAGATCGGGGTGGCCACTCTACAGACCCTCTTCTGCCTATCCAACGGGCCGGAAATACCGTATCTAAATATCGGCGTACATCTAAATGATAGTGGGGCGGTGCCCCATCTTGTTGAAACCAAAGATCATCAAGATTTTCTTGGCAAGCTGGGATAATTTGCTGTTGCAATAATTGTAAATAACGGTGACCAGTTAGAGTACCTCGAATAAAGAAAGGTCCAATTATGTGATCTGCACAAATTCCCACCCATACGTTTAATTTCTGTGGTGTTTGAGTATGATTTTGAATCATCCAATGGGGATTTTTAGCGGCCCAATATCGAGAATTTTGCTTATTTACATTACCATTTAAACAAAACGTAGCCTCGTCAGAGAAAACCATATTATTGAGAAAATTTGGATTGCTGTTGATTCGCTCCATCATAAATTCACAAAATTCAACACGTCGACCGTAGTCATCTTCGGATAATTCTTGCAATAAAGTCGGTTTGTACGGATGTAAATTTTCTGCATGTAATATTTTGTGTATTGAACCTTTACTTAGAGCATGGTTTAAACATAACTGACGAGTTGAAATATTTGGATTTTCTTCGATTTCTATGAGAATATCGATCTTTTTATCTTCATCTGTTGCAGATCTCTGCGGACCAGTCTTTGGCAGATCTTTAACGTTACCAGTTTCCCTAAAACGTTTCGAAGTTTTGCTAACTACTGATTGAGTGATTGGTTCTCGATGTGGATAACGCTCATTGAAAATTTCACATACTTCTAATTGTGTTCGTTTGCGATCCCCATAACCGACCATAATTAAAATTTCTATGCGTTCAGTTTCTGTTAAATGAACCATTTTTCTTTTTTGATCTACCAACTTATTTAAATAAACAAGATTCTGTCACATTCAATAGCTTACATTCAATTGTTAGGACAAATAAGATTTCGGATATCTAGATTCATGTTATTGGCAAAATTAACTTAATAAACTGTTTTTACATTTTTTTCAAAAATTTTCTAGTATAAGGGTACTAAAATTTTACGTCATCGTAAAGAGAAAAAAAATCTCTATCAAATGAGCCTAACGAAAGGGTACATTGCCATTTAAAAAAAATTAAATGTTATTCGTTGCTCATTTGTTTTCTGAAATAAAAACAATTGAATGGTGTCTTATTATGGCAAATCAAATATTAAACAACTTTTGTATAAAATGTTTTTTTGTAAAGTTGATACTTACCAAGATATATACTATATTCCATACATAATGGGCACCCTGTATG